CATGATTGCTACATTGTTAACAAAAAATGAGTTTTATTTTGAGCACACAGCGTTTCACCAGTGGCCGCGGAAGCCGTGGGGACATCTGGGGACATTAACATTGCAGGATAGGGGAGGAAGGGGTTTATAAAGCATGGGCAGATTATGGGGACATGATGTCCCGGACATCGTATAACTGTGAGGACATTGTCCCTCTGTCCCCACGAACGCTTCCGCGGCCACTGCGTTTCACTCCTAGCCAAGTTTAGCAAAATAACATTGACGAACCCCAACTGGAACGAATGACACTTTTGACATTGGGCTTTTAACGCCAAGTCGCCTTTTTGGTGTATTAACGTCACTCAAAAGCTCAGATTTCGTCAGACCCCGCAGAGCGCTAGATATCTCCCTGACCGACTGACTGTCTACGTATGGCAGAAATAAATAAAACCTGAACTACTAAAGTAAATAGTGGGTTGTGCATTAAGCTAAAGAAAAGAAGATGAGGAAAATTGGTTGCTCGTGGACATTAAGCTGACGAAGGGAAAAAGTTGCAAACATTGGGATGAAAATTGATGCCGAGAAGTGACTGCTGAGCAGGACCTTGGATGAGATCGGACAAGGTTAAGTTTGAGTGGTTTGGGATGTTTAATTTAATGAAATTCGGTCGTTATCCATCCAATCCACCAAAAACTATTTACGAGAGAAGCTCACAGTTCCACGACACAAATTAAAAGTTATAAGTACCATCAGGCAAGGCATGTAATGAAATTGTGAAGAGAAACACCATTATCCTGACCTTATTAAAGCTGTTGCATGCATCTTGTTTGTCGTCCATGCATCATATTGTGTCGTCTTGGTCACATGTATATTCCGTGACCGCGGAAGGGTGGGGACAGAGGGACAATGTCCCCACGGTTATTCGATGTCGGCATCATCTCCCCATCTTATGCAAACCCAGCCCTCCCCATCTCACAATATTAATGTCCCCAGATGTCCCCACGGCTTCCGCGGCCACTGTGTACGGCAGCCGAAAATCAGACCGGCTGGAGAAAGCATTTTCATTAAATCCTTCTTCACCAAACTACATACTCAACCAAAGTCTTGCATAGAATTGTGATCCTTTTTCTGGTTAGAAAAAACCTCCATAAATGCTTCTTTCGTTTCCTGGACTGGTACTTGAGCTTTTTTGTGTGTAGTAATTCGATTAAAAATACTTTTCATTCCTCATCACTCGGATAATTGGATTTTCTCCTTTTTCCGAATTGCAACGTCTTCTTCTTATCTTTGTGAAGGATGTCAATGGAGGATTTATGTATGTATAGTCTTGCCTCGAGGATTAATGCAGCTTCAGAGAGTGAATGTCTCGTTCTCCTTTTCTGAGAATCTGAGCGTGTGTTGTCGTCCTATTCCATTTGCAGAAAAGATAAGTTTTCCAATGGAAAAATTCCCTCTAATCAAACCTTCTTTTTGCTCCAAAAAAGCTGCCAGATTAAATTTTATAAATGAATTTGATCATCAACTTTTGCCTGCCACAAATGTCTTCAAATATTTTATATGAGAAAGGTCACTGAAACACTTTTTTTTATAACACGGCTCTTGCAAACCAGTGGCCGCGGAAGCTGTGGGGACATCGGGGGACATTAGCATTGTAGGATGGGGGGAGGGAGGGGTTTATATAACATGGGGAGATGATGCGGACATCGAACAACCGTTGGGACATTGTCCCTCTGTTCCGCGGCCACTGATAAACCAGTGCAGCACTGTATCATAACCATAATTAGATTAGGATACCTACATATTCAGTTACATCGTCAATCGTCGTCTCCTTCTTTTGAATAAACTGTTATCACTTACATTACATTTTCATGGCCGAGTTGACCCAGATTTCGTTTCTAAATCTGAATCAAATCCAACATGTATGTCATCTTGTCCATAATTCTTCCGAAATTTGTGTAATGTAATGTTTCGTCTCTGTCAATTGCTTGACAAAAATACTCACAAGGTGACTAGCGTAACTTACCACGACTAACCATCCCCAGTTATCTATGATAAGTACGGGTTATCTATTTTGCAAAAAAAACGGGGAATAAATTATACATTAACTTGGCTCGGAATACACGTATCATTTATGCAAATCTCTGTATGTATACACAGTGCCTCTAAAAATGTAAATCTGTTACAATGACCCATGTTGACTCTTCTAGGCTACAATTTGTCTTTGCAAATCTTACGGTTCATTTCACTATCTGCTATCTATCGGATCAGAAAACCGAGTGGGAGGAAGCAAGGATCGTAATCTCGTCGTCCTAATTTTAACCCGGTTTTACTTTTATTTGACTATTCTATTTACTACTACTGTTCGAAAACGATGTTGTCGCTTGACGATGGCGCCTTGGCTGCCTTCTGCGTGACTGAGTTATTTTGTTTACTCCTTATTTTCGAACACATACATACATATTAGTTCAATGGTACTTATCTATTTACCTTCTGGGAACGATCCACATACACATCGTCTGTGAAATGTGAGGGCATTAATTAATCGTCTAGAACACAGAACAGACTACTTTCGCCTTCAGTGGCCGCGGAAGCTGTGGGGACATTAACATTGTAGGATGGGGGGAGGGAGGGGTTTATATAAGATGGGGAGATGATGCGGACATCGAACAACCGTGGGGACATTGTCCCTCTGTCCACACACACGCTTCCGCGGCCACTGGTCGTCTTTTATTCGTACATATTTATCCCTGAAAATAGGAACTTTTTTGATCAACAACGAAAATATTGAGATGAAAAGAATCACTGGGATAAGGTTTTCTGTCTGAGATTGTCGTCACTTCAGTATCATCGTTCTCGTCTACGAATAAGCAGTGCTTATCTACATATGCATTTCTATTTTTATTTCAAACTTAACTCTTGGCTTGGACCCATTATCGAAAAAATACACATGTACATAGATTCGAAACCTTCAAAAAAAGTGGAAAGTTATTGCCAGTCAGAAATTTACTTGACAGCTGAGGCAATTCGAATCCACGTTTACTCCATTAGCAAGGAATAAATGGATGTTTCATGAGTATTTATGAATTTTTCATGCAACTGGCTGCATAAAAACGCAAAGATTTATAACACCGAGTTTAATAAGGAATATGCTAAAATTGTCGTCAGTCATAAAACCGAACGAACCGAGATTCGGTTTTTTCATCTTCACGACCAAATGTGACCCTGAATCACAGACGTAATGAATCGCTGTGAAAGGTTGTAAACCTTAATGTCACTTTTTTAACCTCAGACCCAGACATTGGATTGGATTCAAAGTACGATTTAATGAATAGATGAATGTCTAATGTACTCCAAGCTAATCAGATTTTGGCAGGAGTACCTACATGTGGACTAAAATTACCTACTTGCGTAATTAAATTATGAAGTGATATATAGACCGCAGACTGCAGCAGGGGCCGCGGAAGGGTGTGGGGACAGAGGGGCAATGTCCCCACGGTTGTTCGATGTCCGCATTATCTCCCCATCTTATATAAACCCCTCCCTCTCCTTATCCTGCAATGTTAATGTCCCCACGGCTTCCGCGGCCACTGCAGAGTTGAGCTTCTTCTGATAGGTTATTAAATTTTCATGGAATAAATGCCCAAAAAACATGAACCATTGCTGATGTTGCATACTTCCGGTGGACCAGATTTATTTTTTGTTGATTCGTTAATAATTGTTTCATTCACGGATTCACTTGATTCTTTCTTCTTCCTTCTAATCGCGTTAGACGTGCATCTTTTTTGGTTAAAAAATAAAATAAAGTTGTTTACGGTTTAACCCATGACATGCATGTACATCCTTTGAATGTTATTGTGAGAAAATCGTGCATGAATTTAAGTAAGACGTACAAACAACCAGTGAGTAATACTTAGAACGGAGGTTTCCCAGCGTATGCTCTTCGATTTTTAAAAAAAGCTAGTGTCAATCGATGACAAATTTGATTGGGATGAAATTTGCGAAAGACACGATCTCCCAATGGGCACGTTTGGCAGAGATATTTGCATCGGAAGAGGAGAAAACGCGCAGAAAAGTCAACAAAATTTACATTTTCCAAATTTACTGTTCGTTCTCTCCTCTTCGGATGCAAATATCTCTGCCAAACGTGCCCATTGGGAGATCGTGTCTTTCGCAAATTTCATCCCAATTAAATTTGTCATCGTTTGACACTAGTTTGCTCAAAATCTGATAACATCCTCTGAAAGACCTTCATTGTTAGCCATGTGGTAAACCAAAAAGTCCGAAATCCACCAACCAACTGTACGTCTAAAAAGTTTATTTTGCAGAAAGGAAAACACCGTATTACATCCACGCTTGTTAGATTCTTCCCCTTTACAATTCAGCTTCGGAAAGAATGGTCTGTGATGCTGGTAGTCGCAGTTAGTTCGATGTTCGTTAGTTTCGATGAAAACATGTTTTTCATTTCTTTTTTCGCTTAATAATGGCTGCAGGAATAAGTTATCGTACACACGGTCCATTTTATAATACGACGAGCTACACACATAAATGATGGCTGTAAAGGTGAAATAAAATACAAAGTAGTAACGAGACAGCTACTGCTTGCTTGCTTAAACATAAATATAAATATGATACACATGAGCAGGCAGATAGGTACTTATCCTCCTTTTAGATACTCACACAAACACAACTCCTTGCAACATTTTAATCGTGCCATGAGCATAATAAATACAGCTGCACTTTGCTAATTAAAATGAAGATTCCATTCTCACATATGATAAAATATGCATGAAATGCATGCAGTTTCTTCATTACTTATCAAAACAATCTCATCATAATAATATTCAGTGCAAGCAAGCGAGCAGTGACCGCGGAAGCCGTGGGGACATCTGGGGACATTAGTATTGTAGGATAGGGAAGGGAGGGGTTTATATAAGATGGGGAGATGATGCCGACATCGAACAACCGTGGGGACATTTTCCCCCTGTCCTTCCGCGGCCACTGGACTGCAAGCAAGCAAAAGTGGAATTATTATATGCATCACATTTGGTTTAATTATAAGGTTGCAGTTTTGTTTAGCGTGGTCGTGTCAGAATTTTGACGTGTTTTTCTCCCATTCTCTTCTCTCTTGTTTTTCTCTAATGTCACGTCAAACCAGACCAGCTAATTTATCTGTTTTTCTGTTTTTCTTATTGTTGTGAATGGTGGTGTGGCAAAGGTTTTATGGAATTGTTGACTTCGCTCCTTGCCGTGGTACAGGAATTAAATGGCGATTTTGATAAGATAAGATTAGCTTTGGCTTAGCTCTGTGCCACGAGTGAATGAAGTAAACAAGGACACTGCGAAAAAATATGTATGTATAAATCGGTAAAAAGTTTCTGAAAGTTTCCATCCATGTGTATTCCATATTTCTTTCTGTAGAATAAGATGTCGCGATGTTAATTAGGAGATTACAATAATATAATCCACAAACAGGGAAAAGACCCAGTAAATATTATTGAGAAAGTAACATCCAAGTACATACAGTACATAAAGGTTATCTGTAGAGGTTATCTTTTTTTTGACTGACTGAACAGTTCCCTGATAAGTACATAATAACAATCATTTCCCAGAAATTAATCACAACAAGTGCAAAATACTTGCACCTGCATCATTGCATATGCAACTTGAGATTTTATCATGGTGGGTCTGTTCTTGATAAGAACTGGGCAAATTACGTATGCCAATCCGTGGGCGACTTTCTCTCTCCAATTATAAATTCAGGAGGCACACATCCGACGACCATACATAAATATGTAAATAAATGTTGGCTTGAAATGAGGAACTGCTTATCAATAATTGGACTTTAGAACGATACATACATAAGGATTTTCAAAACTTTATGATTTATTAATTTGACACGATTTACCGATTTGGAAATGTTTTAACCTTTCAAAAGTAGGCTTTATTTAATTAATTATCTATGTCTTAAAAACCAATATATTGATTGACCGAGTAAAGGTCGCATACATTACATTAATCAAATAATCACCATTGTCTGTCCATGCATAAGTCGGTCCATGACGCCTTAAAATATTTTTTAAAATGTTTTTTACCCCCTGTAAAAATTTTTTTCAAAATTTTTTCTGCCTTCCATTTACTCAAACTTTTTTTATGCAAGAATCACTTACCTTCGTTCAATCGCATAGATAACCTGTGTCTGCCCATAAGTCGGTCCAATGACACCTTAAAATATTTTTTGAAGTTTTTTACCCTCTGCAAAACTTTTTCAAAATTTTTTCTGGCTTCCATTTACTCAATTTTTTTACGGTTTCTTTTTTCAAGGAATCACTTACCTTCGTCCAATCGCATATAACCTGCTTGGTCTTAAAGTTTAGAAAAATACACAAGTTTCAAAACATCCACGTCATGCACTCTAAATGACAAATGCTTTTATCTACAGCATGTGTTATTTCAACTTCAAGAACCATCATTTTTTTCCTCCCTTTCTTTAACCCAACATCACGTCACATTTAAGATTGCGTTGTGCAGATAGATGTATAAAAAAATTAAAACCTTTTGTCAATGACATGAACATTTGTATACCAAGTACGATGTACGAAGGCGAAAAAGCGAAGGAAAGGATTAAAGAGAGGAGAATAAGAATGATGATAGATTGCATTTTAGTTTGATATTTTGCTCACTTTATTTTTTATTTAGGCTGCAATTTGGTTACTTACTTAAGCCCCAATTCTTGTACAGTGGCCGCGGAAGGATAGAGGGACAATGTCCCCACGGTTGTTTGATATCCGTATCATCTGCCCATCTTATTCAAACCCCTACCTCCCCCCATCCTACAATTTTAATGTCCCCAAATGTCCTCACGGCTTCCGCGGCCACTGGGAGAATTCAGGCTACTCAAATGTATGCACATGATGCAGTGGCCGCGGAAGAGTGAGGACAGAGGGACAATGTCCCCACAGTTATTCTATGTCCGCATCGTCTCCCAATCTTATACAAACCCCTCCCTCCCCCATTCTACAATTTCAATGTCCCCTTATGTCCCCACCCCTTCCGCGGCCACTGTTTTTCTATGCAGAATTTTATGTACGTACGTATCCTTGCCTTGCTACTGCGGTTTTATTAATGGTTTCATTTGTGGCTGGCTGGATGGGATGCGTGATTGGGATTTAAATTGTCAAAAATGAAATGAAGTAAATACAATTGAGGTTTTCGTCCTGACTGATGACTTGCCCGATGCAAATTACAATTGGGAAATAAATTGTCGCAAATTGGAATAATTATGGTTGATTATGTGCCATTGCTGCATCCACGACGAGCCCAATCCATCCATCCAATCCATCTATCTATTCATTAAGGTTGATATTATTGACAGGAAAGAATTAGACATGATTGCAGCATACGTATACATAAATATTTTATGCTGTGTACACCGTATTTATAGTTGTGTGACAGTTCGCGAATTTAAATTCAGAATGGAATTTTTGCACGAAATTGGCATGTGCAGAAAATGTCTATTTTTCTACAATCAAGAACAAATTGTAGCTTGCAAAAATTAAAACTGAACGATTTTCTGCAGTCATACTGTATCAAGAACAAATTGTAGTTTGCAAATTGTACCTTGCAAAAATAAAAACTGACGATTTTTGAACTTGACTTGGATAAACATCCATTTTTTGCCTGAATGATTACAATATTGACGAAATAATCAGTCACTCAACTTCTGAATGGATTGAGGGATATTGACCCGGAATTTGAGCCTTTTTTTGCTACCAATGATACCTTTTAAAATCATGAATCAACCTGCAACTTCTTCTTGTTCTTCTTTAAACATGATTTTTGTTAAGCTACTACTCATCTCATCTCATCTCTGCAATGATAACTGTATTCACCAATTTTGCACAAACCTCTTACATCAACAATCAAATCAATTTAAACGGGCGGAGAGTTTGTTAGTTTTATGTTAGCAAAAGTAAGTAATTGTTTTCATAATGGAAGAAGAAAACATGTTTCCCCCTTTAAATTCACAGTTTAGTTTAAATTGTTTTTAGACAGAACATACATGATTTGCTTGTTTAAGCTAAATTTAAAAAAGTTTGGGTTGTACAGAGTTTACTTTTAAGCCACCAAGCAGCAATGTTATTGCTTGGAGGGCATGGAGGATAATGACTTTGTTTACAATTTCCTCCCCTGATATATTGATATTGGCCTCTTTTTCGTCATCATTAGCAGGTTTCGAAGCACGAAAACATGTCATATTCCATCAACTCTCATATTTATGAGGGAACCAACGAACGAACGTGTGTCATTTACCTCAAAGTAAGTAAATTGATTCGGATTCCTCCGGTTTGGAACACCTTCCACCAGAAGCAGAACAGTAATGTAATGTAATTAGATAAATATGAAATGGAACTTTGTCTCTAATTAGATCCTCGACCTGGTTATTGGCTCGTGCATGTGCTTATAAAATCCAGCATGAAATCGTAATTGGTGCAAAAAAAAAACGCATTAAAATAAAATATGTGCCGTGGCGTCCTTATTATTCGTCACCTTCCTGTGTACATAATTTGACACCGTTTCATCTTCAAAGAAAAGAAAGCTGACACCAAGTTCAAGCCGAGAATGTGATAATAAATCGGCGGCGCCACGCTGTCGACCAAGTCCGAAATGCATAGTTTTAGACGAGAATAAAAAACATTGTACCTCGTCATCACTCAGTTATCAGGAAAAGGTTTGGTCAGCCCATGATATAACATGTACCTAAGGTACATGTTATCATCTACTAAATATTTCATACTTATGAATAAAAGCAATTAACCAAGAATTGCATCGCTTCGCAATTCTGTTTCATGCAAGTCGCATCTCTCATCTCTTATGATGAATTCACTTGGTCAAACATTTAACACTTGTGTGTCGCATCATCATTAAATATTATATTATGAGAAGAAGGGAAGCCTTATAAAAATCAGGCATATGATGATACTCTCTCATTCTGACTTAATATTTGCTCACTGCTGCGACTGCCTCTCAGTTTGGGATGCGGTTTGGTTGTACAGTACAGTATCTATTTATCTGTACTTCTACTGTACATACATACACAGTGGCCGCGGAAGCCGTGGGGACATCTGGGGACATGAACATTGTAGGATGGGGGGAGGGATGGGTTTGTATAAGATGGGCAGATGATGCGGACGTCGAATAACAGTGGGGCTATTGTCCCTCTTCCGCGGCCACTGTACATACACACATCTCGAGCATGCTGACTACTATTGCATGCCGTAGGAGCATGGTCAGTGCGTGAAATGAGAATCAAATGTTGTTTAGTAAGTAATTCCTGTACCGCTCAGCTCACCACACAATAAATAAATTGTTATTCAAAGTGGGTGGTAGGTGGTCAAAAATATAAATAAGATGAACTTATTCCCATCTGCGCACGGCTGACCATCAGTGGCCGCGGAAGCCGTGGGGACATGTGGGGACATAACATTGAAGGAGGGGTTTATGTAACATGAGGAGATCATGGGGACATCAAATAACCGTGGGGACATTGTCCCTCTGTCCGCCACCCTTCCGCGGCCACGGCTGACCACCACAGCACCAAAAGTGTCTTCTAATTCAAAGAAATCTTCACGTTCGTTCACAATGAAGGAGAAATCCTTGCGTTTTAACAACTTTTGTTTGTTTAAGCAGACGACTTAATGTCTACGTAATTTTGCAGGAAGGATGCAATTTTAATTTGCTTGTTGAAACTGCCACGTTGTTGTCGCCTTAAGAAAACATTGCCTTTTCATTCCTTCTTTATTATCTTTATTATGTATTATACTCACTCACTCTTTAATGGGCAGAAGGATGGCGAAGGATGAAAATTAAAAGCTGAGAGATGTGACGAGGATTAGGTCGCTGTATTATTTATATCGTCGGGAGGAAGGATGTTGGATTGAATTATTTTATGGTTTTATAAAATGGAGGACAAGTCAAAAAGTAAGTTTGTGTATCGTTCGTTACACTGTTAAAAATGTGGGAGAATCAGATATACATTATATTAATTTGGTAATAACTTCTTACCGGATTGGTAACAGTTTGTTTCTCAGTGGTAAATTTTGCATTACCACAACATTATTGTAGGGTAATGCCGGTCATTACCGGTAGAGTCATACAAGCAGTAATGATTTAATACCAGTTTTCTTTTCTAAGAGTGCACATATCCACAAAAAATTGCTAATTATTTGCAGGGTGTTTCCTTAATAAGATGCAATTTGTATGGATTATGACACGGTTTAAATAAATATGCTTACTTACAACCAGTCGCCGCGGAAATGTGGGGACAGAGGGACAATGTCTCCATCATCTCCCCATCTTATGCAAACCCCTCCCTCCCCCATTCTACAGTGTTAATGTCCCCACACCTTCCGCGGCCCCTGTCGCAGTCATACCTTCCACTCCACTCCACTCCACCCACCTCCACCACTAAAAATTGAATATTTATTTACACGTGCAGGCAGGAAAGGAAAGGTGTAAACCATTCTATTTTTGAATCCGTCCTCCGTCATTATACAGTCCAGAAGAAACTTATTTGCATAGAATGAATTGCAATATTATTTGTTTTTCAATGCAGCTTTGAAATTAAAACGAGTTCACTTTACTTTACTTTACATTCATTTGATGCTAATGTGTGACTGCTAATTTTTATTTTAGTCCACTCATCATGAGTTGTGAGACCTCAAGCTTTTTTCTCTTGTGAATGAGTCTTTCGCACAATGGCTAATTGCAATTTCAAGCAAATATAGCACAATATGTGTGTATGCATTACGTAATGAGACGATAGAATAATAAAAAGCACGGATAATAAGATACGGTTGATGGTCACTAAATAAAGTAAATGAAATGACATTGCAACGGAAGAATATAAGTCATCAGGACGCACGGCGATGATCTGACTGTGACAAAAATGAAGGTTGTTTGTGTATACCGCATTATTTGCAGATTTTTAATGTATAGTTAGTTATGTTTACTATAGTAAAACGCGTTATTTTTTTAATATATGGCGTCCCAGAGGGCGGATATGTATTTACAAAAAATCGCCAAAATATTTACGAAATAAAAATAAAGTTTTAGCAAAATTTTTACTTTGCTCTGTATTTTTTGTGGTCGAATTTCTTTTAGCAATACAATTTCGCCTTAGATAGTTTAAATATTTACACAATATATGTATTTTTGAAAAATATTTACGTATTTTTCAAAAATATATGTGTGAAAGTCTAGAAATATGTAACAATATTTGAAAATATTTTGAAGTTTTTCTGATCTATTCGAGTTACGGAACACACCCACAAAGTTTTACTTTCCATCGTCAATAAATGAAAAATTTGAAAAAATACATATCCACCCTCTGTTTATCATATTCAATTGTGCAAATTCCACTACTGTTTGCTATCAATACATGAATGAAATTCGAGTGATGTTGGTGTGAAATGTCATAAAAGTTATTATTTGCTTGAGTTCTTCTTTCAATTTTAGAAGGATTAAACACGGCCAAGTTTTTGCACGCATTAAGAACAATAGAAATTTCCAAGAGCAGTCAGTCAGTCAGTAGGAAAAGATGTCTCTGTTTTATTAGATCAGCGATCAGCTTGCCGTCAGTTTCGGTATTTTGCAATTTTGACAGGGGAAAAAATTAAACCATTTTGGATGGATAGATGGATAATGTGCACGGCAAGAAGAGAACAGCGAATCAATTGCAAATTGCAGTTGTCACGAACATCACAAATTTTGATTTTATAAGAGTAGGCTCACAAACAACGGCATGAAATGAAATGAAATTTAGCCATAGGATGGGATGCCTATGTAATTGCAAAAACTTATAAAAAATGTAATGTAACGCACTCTTTGCCTGCCTGAGTTTAAAATCTGAGCTGAAACTAAATATTTTTTCATCATGACCAAACAACGACGAAGACCTAATCAACAATAACTTGGTTGGACTTCGTGGATGACAAATTGTCCATACTTTTACTTACTCCCTCCCCCTCTTAATTCGATGGTGGCCTATTTAAAGTAGACTTTTAGTTCGTATATAGCTAAATATTTACTACTTATTTAAGCTCATTTCATGTGTACTACATACTACGAATAGGAAAGTTTCACAGTAATTTCTTGATGAAGTTGAAGAAATGTTGGCAAATACATATTTCTATGATTAATGAGCCGTTTCGAAATCGCGAAATTAATCTTGAAAGATTTTCTTGAGATACATACACACGTGATAATATTTTTTGTCATCGTCGTATCACTGCAACTTATTATTTGTCATTGTAAAATAAGAACATGAAGCAATACTAAGAAATTCTTAGTAAAAATTGGTACATACATCTTTAAAAAAAATAGAATGTAACTACGAATTTATTGGAGTATGCAAACATAAAAAAACTCAGATTTAGAGCAGGATCTTAAATCTCAAGCTATGTATCTATTTTATGAAAGTACGATTTATTTAATCCCGGCTTAAAAAAAGTTATAGATTTATTGCTAAAGAAAATCTTCCTTTCGCGAAAAATAAATTAGATTTTGTCCCTGTCACTCAAATTGCGAATCTTGTTTTGCATTTTCGAATTGAAATAGTCTCAAATTGTGAATCTTGTTTTCGAATTGAAATAGTTGTTTGTTACCAGCACATAAATTAATTTACTTGTTTTTTCTCTCTCTCTAGGCCGCTGCCAGATACCAATGCAGCTACTTAATGGAATTACAGAAACGAGAATTCCTCTATCAAGGCGGAGATCCCAAGTGGTTGCGCGGATTGGAATCTGCACCAGCGAAATTGTTAGCGCTTTACCAAATCAACAAGATCATGGCGCACCGCCCTTGGGTCCTGAAGAAAGAGGATTTTCTCCATCTCACCAAAAAGGCTGGGTGGTCATTGTCTGAAGTAAGCTTGAATTCTCCCAGTGGCCGCGGAAGCTGTGGGGCGTGGGGACATTAACACTGTAGGATGGGGGGAGGGAGGGGTTTATATAACATGGGGAGATGATGTGAACATTGAATAACCCTGGGGACATTGTCCCTCTGTCTCCACCCTCTTCCGCGGCCACTGATTTCTGCGATCGTGTTCAGTTCAGTATTGTCCTGCGTTCTTTCGATGTGACACGATTGAAATTTTGTTTTACTGCATTTTTATTATGCTCATTCCTTGTGCTGCACTTTATTGCAATGGGTTGATCTACATTTTACAATTCACATAACTCAATGCAGCAGCAGCAGCCTCGCCTCTGTTCAATTCAGTTGTCAATTATTTTATGGTCTAATGAAAACTAAATAATTGAATTTAAGAAAGTCGTCAAACCAGCAGAAAGTCGAAATCTACATAAAATTGTAGTTTTGATCATTCAACGAAAGCAATTGACATTAAATTAAATTATTTGGATCGACCAATTCAACAGCTGCGGAACGTAATGGGAATGTGAAATCTATTAATGGTTATGTATATGAGACAGTGGCCGCGGAAGCTGTGGGGACATTAATATTGTAGGATAGGGGAGGCAGGGGTTTATATAACATGGGGAGATGATGCGGACCTCGACGAACCGTAGGGACATTGTCCCTCTGTCCTTCCGCGGCCACTGATACGAGACCCTTAATTACTGAGCTTGTTCTTCTGGATTAAAAAAATCTGAACCAGTAATTTTGTTCCATTTTTCTTAAGTAATACCAATCACAGGGCTCAATCTGACGTTAAAAATAATGCCTCGTTTCAGTCCCAGGCCATGAAATGCATTATTTATCTCGCTCTTTTTAACTTGATTTGCTTCATCACTGTAAAAATAACCTTGTCAATAGATCAAGCCCTATAGTGTCGCCCATTCTATTGTATTCTGCACATCACGACAACCACTGACTGCCTGCAATTTAGTTGCATTGCTCATTATTATTATAAAGATTTATTAGACATCATCATCTCCACCAGTGATCCTTAATCGGTGATAAAAGCCGAGAAATAAACTGATATCAAAGGAATCCAGGTCCACGTGGGTCATAAAAAGCCGCTTTAATCTTTTATATCACGATTTGCACGCTCACTCACTCGCAGAGATCATCCGCAACAGCTTATGTGCGTAGAGGGCCAATAAACATTAAAACTTGAAAGTGTCATAGGTTTTTCATGGCTTTGTTTTCTCGCGTGGACTTTTATAGCTTTGTTTTTCTCATAGAATATAAAGAATAGGTTTTTGTCCATGAAATGAAATGAATTTTCAGGCTGGAAATATCTATCGGTGGGGGAGTGAGTGAAGACTGCATAAATAGGTTTTTTTTAAACCCATATAGTAAAAACTGCATAAAAACAAAGAAGCAATTATTTACCCCACTGACACTGCTGTGGCAAATCTGCTAATAATAAATGTACCAAGCCAAGCCACGAGGAGAAGAAAAGAAATGTTTGTTTACGACGAGGACCACCTCCCTCCCTCGCACACCTCTTTTCTGGTACCAAACACTTTTTTGTCACCTATTTATAAATGCAGATCATTCATGACAAGCCCCTGAAATAGGAAATATAATGAGCAAAATAAAATAAGGTGGGATCGACAACAAATTTTATTTGTGTGGTTCATGCATCGATTTTTCTTACCTGTGGGGACATTAGCATTGTAGGATCGGGGGAGGGAGGGGTTTGTATAAGATGGGGAGATGATGCGGACATCGATCAACCGTGGGGACATTGTCCTTCTTTTGTCCCCACACTTCCGAGGCCCCTGTTGATCACAGAAACTTTCGAGAACAGAGAGGAAGAAGGAAAGTGTAAAATCTTCATCATAACTGCGCGATCCTTGCGCATTACATACATATTATTTCCAATCGTGAATATATCTGTTGTTTTCACCATTTGCGAATTGCCGAGATGATAATTATCTTTGTCTCTCTTTCGAGTGATGCAGCAGATGTGGTTAGTTCTGGTTTTGTAGAATCAAGGTTAAACCCATGGAATTAGATATACTAAACTATATTCAACCTTAAGTGCTTTCTGCAGCTAATACTGCATTATTATTATACGCGTCATCGCTAACATTACATACATACAGGGAAAAACATGCCATTTTCATTTTTACAAGTTTGTCTCTACACACACATACTACTGGCTCACTTAATGACAATTATGTGGTTTGGTTTAAGCTCCGTATATTTGTGGCAGTGCGTATTTTTTGTCCCGATTTCTTAAAGATGTTGCCTTTGCATTTACATGAATCAGTGAAAACTAGAAAGGTGGTTAAAGTCGAGAAAACGTCATTTTTTTTGCCTCCACACCACACACAAACTTAATTTTGTATTTTATTTTATGAAACCCTTGCCTTCCATTTTTATGACTTGTGCTCGACTGAAGAAAGGAGTAAAATAAAACGAGTCATTACCGTTGTCTTCCGTTCTGTGTGTTTCGTCTCGTTTCGTTTTATAGTAGCGAATAAGAGATGTAATATAATAATATTGTTTTCGTGATGTGGTAAGGTTTTAGGACAAAATAGGATTCTTTTCTCTCAAAGATTTGAATAGGATTTTTTGTGGGGATCTTTTTATCGCAAAATTTGGTTAGAATCTGATAAGGTTTTGTGATGTGCGTTGCGTGCTGGTTGAGGCAGTTACCGTGGAAGCCGTGTGGGGACATCGGGGGGCATTAACATTGTAGGATGGGGGAGGGACGGGTTTGTATAAGATGGGGAGCTGATGCGGACATTGAATAACCGTGGGGACATTGTCCACATGCTTCCGCGGGCACTGGACTGCGGAGTGAGTGCGTATGCATAAAGACGAGACGCGCAGTGGATTTAATGAAATGACACAATAAATTTCAAACTTTAGTGGTTCGTGAAAAATAAGGAAATCAAATCATTTTAGTGCAAGTTGGTTCATTTAGTTTACCCAAATTTAGCTATGTGCATACATACATACATACACTTAATAATATTACTACATTACATTTACTTATTTACTAGCACAGCACGATTTACTACTAACTACTCGTAATTCCACTGCACAATGTACAGGTCAAACTTACAACCACATCAACAACCGTGTTTTGTGTATAGAATTGTGCATACGTATTTACGTAGAGCTGAACTAATAATTAGCTGTCTTCATAAATAACTGAGAAATCACCTCATGCATCTCTCCTCGCTGTGTTCGATGATTGTGATTATTTGGTTCAAATGAGCAAACCAGAAGAAGATTCTTGCATTTATAACATGTGTACGTCCATGAATCCACTTTGTATTACCGTAACGCTTTTGGTTGAAGATCTGACCAGTGGCCGCGGAAGGAGGGACAATGTCCCCAAGTTTGTTCGATGTCCGTATCATCTCCCCATGTTATATAAACCCCTCCCTCCCCCTATCCTACAATGTTAATGTCCCCACAGCTTCCGCGGCCACTGGTTGGTTGGTTGGCTGAAGATCTGACTAGTTTTGTACGTACGTATCTATCTTGATTTGACCAAACAACTGCAAAAAAATGAAAATTATGAACAAGCCGAGCAATGAATGTCAGGGTCATCGCAGCAATTTCTTCTCAATCTTGAAGGGAACGAGTCAAGTACCAAAAACGTAATCTTGTCTGTTCGTATAGCACGTCACGCTGGTAATCAAAATGTTGTAAAAAATCATCATAATTCATGTAATCGTGAAGAAAGGAAGTGCGTACAGAACAATAATCAGCATGAACATCTGCATGCATAAGTTCAATCGATTGGTAGAAAATTAAATGAAATTGAAAGTTGTGTGCAAATTTGGTTAATCCAAATTATAGGGTGAGACAAGTACCTAAGTTGATGAAAATGTTGGAAAAATGTTAATTGCTGTAGTAGTCGCAGGGTTTCGTTTCTTGTTACATTTCTTGCACTGTAAAGGAAAAAAACGGGAGAAATGCGAGGTGCAAGAAACTGGGAGGAAGTGCAAGAAATATGCGCCATCCAGCCACGCGCGGTATAAAGTATTTATCGCGGCGGGGCGCAGTTTCTCGCGCCTTGCATTTCTCCCAGGTCAATATTTACCTGCAAGAAACCACTTTCTCCCCGTCATTTCTTGCACGTGGTTACTTATTTGAACGCTAAACACTGTTACTTCGTTCGTAATAATAATGTCTCATTTTTTCACTAACCAACCCAACCAACTGCTTCAATTCAATGAGACTCCTCAATAACATACATAGTTCTTCATCTTAACCCACATTTTCCAGCAATTACTTTTGCAGACATAAAAATGTTTCTTTAGAGTTATGTACTCCAACCAAGCTGGAGTGGTACACGTCCCAAAGTCATAAAATATTCGCAAGACTGAGTTCCTTGAGGAAAGGAGGATTCAATTTTTCATCCATCATTCGTACATATCTATCCTAGTGCAACTTTGCTATTAGAGCTCATCACTAATTCATAAGGAGGCAGGCAGCAGAGCAGAAACTTAGCCGGAGAACGGCGAGAGATCAGATGCAGAAAGAAATAAGTTGCTAAAATACAGCAAGTGGCGTTTATTGTTCGCCATGTACGAAAAGAATCGGCCATCTCATCTCATCCTTAATAAGAATGAAACATCTTAAAGGTGAAGCTACATGGGGATTGTTTTCCAAAAAAAGTGACAAAAAATGGCCATACACACCTTACCTCGCGAGGTGAGGAAGGTTGGCAGAATCCATATCAAAAACAGGTCGTGGTATGCATGGTAAAAATCACGGATTGAAACATTCACATCTTTGGTGAAGAAGGAAGAATAGGAATGAATTCATGGATGAATAAAACTGCACATATTGGATATACAGATTGTTTTCATACTACCTTTCCACCCTCTGTTTTTTTTCATAGAAATTCATTCTGGACTTGACTGGACGGCAAAAGCCAGTTGCTTTGCTAATCATGATTTATGTATTTTCACCCGTGCTGCAGATATCTGTTGCTGTACAGGACAGACATCTATAAATTTAAATATTTTGAATGACACTGCATCTCCGAATGCCTTTTGTTAGCGATGTACATAAAAAAATCTTCATCAATACATGGAAAGGGTTGTCTCATCTCATTCTTGTATATAATTCAATGGTTATGTTGTTCAGGTTTTTGGTAAAAGTTGAACGTGAACTCTTCTTAACTGTGGAGTTTGAAGATTTTTAGGTGGGTTTAGCGAGTTGCAAGGATTATACAGTATGTACATTGTATGTATGTACGTCACGGTATGTACAGTGCATATAACATGAAGATGCTTACCCTACCAACCTACTTTTTCAATCCTCCTCCTCCAGTACAAACTTTTTATTCCAAAGCCGCATAACATGTTTCGTTTCATATTATTATGTCAATTTATGTAAAACTTTGATGAGCCGTGTGCGCATCCTTGATTACATTTTATGTATTTCGCTTTACTCCAAGTTTTTGACTGCAATCCTATTTCGTTTCATGTAGGTATTTTAAAATCCATGTATTTTAGCTTGTTACGTGTAACATGAACTCTCAGCCATGACTATTTCTAATTGTATTAAATCGACTGCATACATTCATTTATTTCAAGTAATGCGAGTACAGTGATGTTGTTATTGTTTCTCGTGTTCTGTTCGTCGTTCAGTAAACTTTTAGATATTTATTCGAGTGTGCGGTCTCTCTGTCTGTACATTAAGTGGTGTTATGCAACTTGTTTATTCCAAGGCACAAAGTACGGCCGGAGAATATTTATGAGACAAAAATATACTCGCAGCATTGATTCCTCCATGCATGCATTTTTTGTGGCATGTGCAGTAAATACGGAGGAACGAAGGTGAAATATTTCAGAGAAGAAGAGTTGCATGCATGAGTGAGAAAAACACTCTTTGGCTACTTATGATTTTCTGTGAAGATAAATATGTACATGTACAAAATGATGTACGAAATATATATGTAGGGAAGAGATATCTCCAGTGATATTTCCAGTGGCCGCGGAAGGACAGAGGGATAATGTCCCCAGGGTTGTTCGATGTCGGCATCATCATAAACCGCTCCCTCCCCCCATCCTACAATGTTAACGTCCCCACAGCTTCCGCGGCCACTGCTGATCACAAGAAAGGAAATGTACTGAGGTTAATTAGGTACGCAAAACTGGTACGACTAGATAAAATAAAACTCCTCGTGATGTATAGGAATTTATGATTTCTTGTTGTTATGAATGACGCAAAAGCTGGCTGGACACGGTCGGTCGGACGAACATGGTCCACGTCCATGTCCAGAAGAAGAATGTTAATTCCCCATATTTAGTTTTTTTCTCGACCCCACTGAACAAGTGCGGAGGAGTAGTTTTACTTTATGACGTTGTTTTTGTACTCCGATGGAAGAATTTTTGCTAATATTGGACCCATTTTTATTAACTTAGGTGGTGCAGGCGGTCGTGATCCTGGCGCATTTTCATGCCCTCTCCTCCTTCATTCATGGCTGGTAAGGAATTGATTGGAAAATTTGAATGTTTCTGGACATATTTAAATATATTTCTGAATTTTTTAGCGGAATCACGCCCGAGATCGATTTCGACAAGGGTCACTCTTACATGGACCCTGGCAACTTTAACTCGATCCGGTCCGTGTCGGAAGCCCTGAATCGGTCATCGCATGAAATGAGTGAACCAGAAGTCAAATCAGATATCTCAACACCTTCCGTATCTTTCGCTATGGACCAGCCGACCTCGTACTTCGGGTCAAGAATCCTTCCCAACCCGGCAGAGACAAGTCGGGGAAAACAAACAAAATCGATCCTGAAGAAGACTGAAGTGGGCTCCTCCACGCAAACTGCCAATAATAACTCCAGTACTAATATTACCTCGTCTGCAAGTAACCTACTCAAAGATGCGACCCATCATAACGCTCTGGTCGCCAATTCCCCACCGAAAAAGGGGTTGGGATGCAGCGTCTCTGAAGTCGAGATCATTATGGCCACCATGAAAAATTTGTCGGAAACGAGTCCCATCGAAGAGTGAGTTGCATATTATTATTCATGACCAGTGGCCGCGGAAAGGTGGGTGGGGACAGAGGGGCAGTGTCCACAGGGTTGTTCGATGTTCGTATCATCTGCCCATCTTATATAAACCCCTGCCTCCCCTATCTTACAATATTAATATCCCCAGATGTCCCCACAGCTTCCGCGGCCACTGCTCTTATCCCACGACAATGTTTATCGTAATGACTAGACAATAATAATAATGATAATAATTTTGTGTCTCTCCTTCACAGTCCTGAAGAGCGTAAAAAACGCTTCGAAAACGTGGCGTCGTCTGATGACAGTCAAGAAAAGGAAAACTTGCTGACCAACTGTTTAAAAGGAACGTCGTCCAGCATTCCACCAGAAATTTCACCATTCGTCTGCGATCCTGACTTTATCTATGAAGACTTTGCAAAGCGGGGACAAGTTTCGGAAATGCATACGTTCCGAATTCAGGTAAATTTGAAGTTTAATAACGTTCTCTCTCAAAGTTTCCAATTTGCAATAAGTTCAAAGAACGAAAATCTTAATATAATTCCCACTTCCAAGTACTACACTCGACTCGCACAAAAGATCTCTTTGTGGATGGAATAACATGCCCGGTTTGCAGCCTTATTTATAGCATGAAAATAATTTTCAAAAGTCTACGCAGATGGTTTATGACTCTGTGATCCTTGTTAACTTTTATTTTATAAGGGTTACGTACGTTGTGATGATGCGCTTCTTACTTGTAAATATGTACGTAATCTCCTCCAAGCATGGGGTAAGTTACAAGTGCATAATAATATGTATCATAGTTAGACCTTGGAGAGCTCTTTAGTTCAGCCATGTACATATTTACCGGCAGTGGCCGCGGAAGCCTATGAGGGGGACATTAACTTTGTAGGATGGGGGGAGGGACGGGTTTATACAAGGTGGGGAGATGATGCCGACATCGAACAACCGTGGGGACATTATCCCTCTGTCCGCGGCCACTGTTCTCCACATATTTACGTGGATAAGTATGTGTGCGACTTTGACGCTGTGAATTTCGGTGCCAGTTCAAGTGATGTATGAGAATCGGATATGCTTTATCGTTATTTAATGTTTTTATTTTGCATTTTGCCAACTGCCACTGAATCTGGCTTGGCTGTACGTAAATAAATGTACCAAAGTCAGACATACATACATACTTGCAGTACATTAAAGCATCTTTTTTTCTCCCTCGTTATCATCATCCTCGTCTTCTTGCTTTATATCTTGTAAGTAAAAAAACACTCACAACAGTAAACAGACAGCGGATGGATAGTAGTGAAGCTCAATAAGTGTCGTCAAAATAATAATATTATGCTCGTCTCATAGCCCAATAATAACAATAATTAACATTATAAGTAAATACGTGTATAGTTATATTTATATTCCATTAAAGCAGCAGCATCGTGTGTATCCTTATAAATTCAGCCTCTTGATAAGTACATATGCATTCCCACCCATTAGCCAAAAAATAAATACGTGATGGTAGTGACGATGAACAATGAAACGACGTTTCATGAAATGAAATGCGAGATCTTCTTATGTGAGGTCGTCCCGAGGTCTGGACTGATTTATGCAATACAACGATTTATATTTGGCAATTCTTACAAAGAGTGTGGTACAATTTTAATGAGCACATATGTTATTTCAGCGTTAGGCAGATATTATAAGGACGCATGTACATACATAGATAGATGAAGAACGGGGCATGCACTATATGTAGTTCTAGCTATTATCTACTTACTTATTAGTATGGATGATAAGTAAGCAGCTTTCGCAATTCATGTACCGATATTGATTTAGCATTAAGTTGGATATAATAATAACCGATTAGCCGAGCAGAGAGAGGAGACGAGCTAATAAGTAAGTAGTGGATTTTGTATGCTAGCTAAGTATACATGCAGTGGCCGCGGAAGTCATGGGGACATTGACATTGTAGGATGGGGGGAGGGAGTGGTTTATATAAGATGGGGAGATGATGCGGACATCGAACAACCGTGGGGACATTGTCCCTCTGTCCACACCCACCCTTCCGCGGCCACTGGTAGCTAGAAACTAGAGAGATAAGTAAGCATGCCCCTCCTATAACATTGACATCGACAATCTGAAGTGTTTTTGAAATGTGAAATGAATATTAAAACGGTGTTCGCTCGTTCAGAGAGAGAGAGATCAAGGAAGCAAATCTCGTTGCGAATCTCGCCGTGTAATTTGCATCCCTGGAGAATTTTGAAGTGTTCTGTTCTCTCGGATATGAAAAGTGTTCGTGATGAAAATCATAATCATGCTTTACTTACAACATTATTATTGATTCCTTGCAGGATTACTCGTGGGAGGAGCACGGATTCTCATTAGTGAACCGACTCTATAACGAGGTGGGGGTGTACTTGGACGAAAAATTCAAGGTCACTCAAGGGATGACCTATTACACGATGGGCGGCCGGGCACACGTCGACACGACCAAGTTCCGAACCGCGGTCTGGAACTATATCCAGTGCTTGTATGGCATCAGGTGGGTTATGAAACCTCGGTTATGAAATTGTTTTCATGTCCAACGCTACTTTTACATGTTTATGTAGCTATTTGAGGATGAGATTATTTCTTAAATATTTAGTTAACTTGTCAATAATTACGTAAGTTCAATGTGCCCTAAGTTTTAATGGTAAACGTTAGAATAGCATCTGACAAAAAAAACTTGCATGAAAACATGACGAGGAACGGTTGGAGTTCAGTTCATCTATGCATCCGATCCTCTGTGATGTGCATACCAGTGGCCGCGGAAGCCGTGGGGACATGTGGGGACATTAACATTGTAGGATAGGGGAGGGAGGGGTTTATAGAACATGGACAGATAATGGGGACATTGTCCCTCTGTCCCTCAAGCTTCCGCGGCCACTGCATCTACATACAAAAAAGTATCTGGGTCTTTTTTTCTTCTAAAAGATGACTGTTTTATGCCCAGCTTTTACACTTGTTTGTTATTTTGACTGTGGGAAACCAAGCTGGTTTTTGCACATGTTTTTATATTTGAATCAAAATGAGACTGTTTTCATCTTTTCGACATCTGCACCTACAGTATTCTAGATTTGTATTTTCGATGCATGGTTTGTCTCACTTGCATGCACTTTGCACCACACCACATTTCGTACGTAAGTACATATGTAGGTAGAACCGACACGTGTGAAGTATTTCAAAGGATAAAATAGCATCACAACCAGCAGCGTCAGATTGACGGGTTGTTTAAAAGCAAATAACTCGATCTAAATACTTTGAGGATTACCACCAGCGCGTCACCACCAACTAACCAAAGCACGCCAGGAAATATGCATGCAGAATATCGACAGCAACCTGCCTTTTTCCAGGGGTGGGTAAAATACTTGGGAAAATACAGTATTTTGACTTCAGTTCTTCCCAGGGTGTTACACCCACAAAACGACGAAAATCTACGTTGAGAAAGCAACAGCCATATGAAAATGCGAGTTCTGTAAAGAAATTAACTCTTGATCGCTGTAAAATTATATTGCTTTCACTATTTTCTAAAAATAAAGTATTCTAACAGCGATAAAAAGTAAATTTCTTAAAAAATCATGTATTTTCGTGCGACCGCTGCCTTCTCCACGTAGATTTTTGTCTTTTTGTGGGTGTAACACCCCTGGGAAGAACGGAGCCCAAAAAACTACATTTTGTCCAAATATTTTGCCCACCCCTGCTTTTCCCTCCCCTCCCGATCATTCATAAGTATCGTGTTCTTTCCTCTTCTGGCACAATTCGCAAAAAAAAGAAACACATTTTTTCATAAATTGTGCCAAGTTCTCTAAGAAAAATTAAAAATTCATTCCAACCCGGCCATTAAGAAGACCAAGGAAATTATAAACAAACAAAATAACACATTAGTTTTACTACTGATGGCATATATAAAATGCATGTTTTTTTTCCTCCGGGGTTAAAGATCAAATCACTCGCGAAGCTGGTGTATCAGTAGAAGGTTGTTCACATCACATCTTGCACGTCAAGGATCGAAGAACATGTTGTGTTTTTCATCCATTACATATTTCATGTCATGGCTTTGTGTTAGTTATGTAAATTGTTGACGAACTGGGCCGAATTAAGTTTGAGATTACAATTTTTCTCATCTGCTGCCTGCAGAATAATGGAATTGCTAAATTAGATTTTTCTCATATCACTCACAGGCATGACGACTACGACTACGGAGAAGTCAACCAACTGCTCGAGCGACCACTCAAAGCCTACATCAAAACGGTGTGCTGTTATCCAGAGCGGATTACCAAAGCTGATTATGATAATGTGATGCGAGAGTTCAAACATTCTGAGAAGGTAGGAGAGAGAAGACAAAATAATCTATTTTTTAATGCGACTTTCACCACCAGTGGCCGCGGAAGGGTGAGGGGACAAAATGTCCCCAAAGTTATTCGATGTTCCCATCCCCATCCTAAAATGTTAATGTCCCCACGGCTTCCGCGGCCACTGCTTTCCCCAGAGAAAATTCTCCTACTTGTTGAATACATAACTACTTTACTTTGATTTTTAATTTTGATTTATTATACCAAATATTTATGCAGCTCGAGATAACCTTCCTTTGATAATAAATTGATAGATTTTTATTGAATTCTATAAATACCCACATCACTCACTCACTCAATCACTGTAAAATATTTAAATTGAATTTGTCTCTGTTACAGGTGCATGTCAATCTTATGATAATGGAAGCCAAGATCCAAGCAGAGGTATTTTTCATTTCATTTCATTACTTAACCAAATATTTGAAATATGTAAGAAAAAATCATAATTTCCTATTTTTTCAATTTCAGCTGCTCTACGCTCTCCGAACAATTATGAGATTCCTCATTTAAAGAAAAAAAATCCGTCTTTCCTGTCATTACAATATCATGGAACCATTTTTAGCAGTATGCAAATCGGCCCTACACACACACTGAAAGTATCATCGTGAAGCTTTATTATTTCGTTTAGTAAATAATTCAATGTTCCAACTTTAATATTTAAAATTAATTAATTAATTATCTAAATGTGTACCTAATTTACATAGGTAAATAGCTTGATGATTGTACTCTATGTATATGAGGAGGTATTTGTGTCACTTATTATTGGATATCGTGTCGAAAATGTGGATTTATCCTCTATAAATTCAACTAAATATTACAATTACTGATTAAAATATCTTGAAAAGTGTTTACATATAACGAACCGATAATGATACATTGTAAATTCCTCAAAAACACGACACCGAATATACATTGAAATTTATCATTTTATCCGATTAATAGGATAATTTTACTTAATTTTTGAAGTTTGATTCAAAAATATATAGCTATTTACTCCTCCCACACATTATTTACTACTCAACTATTACATCTTTTGTTTTTTTTGCTATATCAAAAGTAAAGAATGGCATTTTCTCAAATAATTTCTCTTTAGATAAATAATTTTCGTTTAAAAGTTTGATCTCAACTCATTTCATAAAATATTAATAGTTGAGTAATAAATAATTAATTGTACGTACGCAGATTATGTAAGAACAATACCATCACGTTTTGTCGTGATTGGTAAAAACAGCACACATCCAAATAGTTCATGAAATGCTTTTTGATAAGCTTTCCGCAGTGTAAATGTCCCACCTACCCCGACCCCTAGAAGATATTTCCTAATTAATTAATTAATTAACACTTCTCCTCTTTTACATATTAACTTCATAGTTTTTGTTACCTCGATCCAGTTGTATTTTAATTTTTGTGTCAGTTCAGTTCCGCCGCTATTATTTTCTCCCTAATAGAAATACCTATTTACCTAGCCTTAAACATACGTTTTGTCGATCTTGATTTATCGTTAAGTAAAAAGAAAACGCGACTGATAAAATATTGGTAATTAGCCAAAATGATGTACATATTTACTCGTATCTAACTAAATATATAGTCTGTATACCTTGAATAATGCATTTCTTTTTAAAAAGAAGCCAGTCCTACCCTCCAGTCCGTATACATACATAGAATTAAATATAAGAAAAAAAAGTCGTCTTACCTTTTTCTGAATCAAATTGGTCAGATTTGGAAAAGATTTCAAACTTCAATAGTCCAACACCTAACATACAAAGCAACACTGTGTACACACACAAATCCGTGGAACAGTTTATTAAATATATAGTTAGTTGTAAATATATGTATAATTAATTAATTAGGGTAAATATAATCTCATCTCTTAAATACGCACTAAAAAAAGGTATATGATCATGCATTTAGGGTACGAAAACGCATCGAGAATGCCAATTTTAAGTAGAAAAGGTCGGACGAACTGCAAGGATGAGAGGACGAGATAATTAATTAAATACGTAATTATGTAATGTCTCATTAAATATTATAATCCGATAAGTTATGGAGCGGTGGTAAAAGTCGGAATTTTTGGAAATGGTTAATTAGATAATTACCCAATTACTTGATGGATTTTTGGATTACAAACTGAATTATTATCTGTGAATGCATCATTATTTGATTGAAGGAGAAAGCTCCACGCAAAAAAAAGCTCTCTTTAAAAAAGTTTGATTTAGTAAATAATTAAATAAATATTTTATTATGTACACAAACAAAATTCAAAAGAGCTTTTTTTTTCTTTTCCGCATTAAAATTCTTCCTCTTTTATGACCTAGAGAAGAAAAAAAGAACGAGTCATATTAATCTCAGCTCATCTTCAGCGTAAATAAAAATTTGTTACGTTATCAAGAAATAAATATGTAAATGAATGCTTATCAGTTTGGAGAACGACACTTTCTTTGGGAAGAGTTAGGAAAATCGAAACGATAGAATGAAAGGTTTGCTGAATGTTCAATTCTGAATTACAAAATATGATTAATTAAAATTAACTACAAATTAAATTAGGGCGCGACGAGTCAGGCGGTGATATAAATAATGTACTATTTAGATTGATACGTAAAATAATCATTAATTAATTAGCCAACAGATAATTTAGCGTGTAATTAATTAAATTACATAAATACGATGAGTTTTATAATGTGTTTGACCATAAAAAATATATAATGATGAACAAAGAAACGAAAGTGATACATATGTAAAAACGGTTTACATTATTATTATATTATTATTATGATTACGTTTGGTTTGCAATTTTGGTATCGGACAGAATTTGAGGTCCAAAAAAAATCAAATTTAGTAATTAACGACTTGATTTTTTGTCAAAACAATTCATTTCGTTTTTTTTCATTCGACTTGAAAAAAATGCTGGCTGACAGATACAAGTCCATGATGATAAATACGTTATCAATTTAACGTATTTGAAATATTTTATAGTGATAAGTTACATGGATAAATTGTACGTACCTTGATATATAAATTAGAATTAATCACTTTTGACTGTTAATTAATATAAAAAAGCGTCATTTAAGAAGTTCACAAATGTTTGGGGAAAAAAGCTAATCTTCATTTTTCCACTTTGACGAACCGACCAATCGACGCTGCGTTCGGAAAATCTGCAAAACGTGTGCATTTTATTATTAGAAAATTAAATTTATATGGACCTGGATTGGATTTTGGAATGTTTTAACGAATCGCTGGTGTGGCGTCGGTCTTGCGGAAGTACAACTAGAAAAAAGAGGATGATTATTTAAAATAAGTTTGGCTTGTTGTATTTCAATTTGTGAATTTGTGTACCTTCTCATGAATCATGATTAAATATGATTAAATTAAATATATTGAATTAATTTGTTTGAAAGTTTGTGATAAATATAAAAAAAATCATACAAATATTTGGAAATTCTGAATTCACGGGAAACATGGTTAAACGCCATGATACAAATTATATGATATCTCTTCGAATTTGAGCCATGATAAGTTACACACGTGCACCAATCTTCACATATAAATATATTACTACTATTATACATGCATGAAGACGCAATTATTAAGTCGTTATGAAATTGATAAATGTTGAACTGAGAGATGATGAAAATTACTGTATTATGTATTTCAATTTGAAATTTTCAAATTCCATAAATGTTCAGTATGCAGAGAGAGGAAAGAAGGAAATTTGTCATTATCATGAAATGGACGATTGTTAATAAAGGATTGAAATAAATTATGGAAAAGAAAAAATGAAGATTTTATCAGTCTTATTTTAAATCCAAGTTCAGAACAAACATTTTTCATAGATTAACCTCAATTAAACTATTTCATAATCATTGATCATATAAGCTTCCGTCTCACATTATACGTATATTCACATTTTGTCCCCTCAGGGGACTCCCCTGAATGCCTGAGACAAAAAAACGCCGGACGACACGTGAAGCTAAATCACTTTCTAAGGCTTTATCGTAATTAATTTGACTATAATTGATTTGATTATCCAAGTGAATATTATCATACAGGTAAGAAAAAAATGGTATATTTTTTATTGTTACCGTAATATGGAGAAAGTTTAGCAATTTTTCATACGTGAATAACATTGTTTTCGAAAATCTGTTGAAATTGACACGTTTGACGTGTTATTATGCGGTTGGTTAATAATTAAAATATTGCATGTTTTTTTGCAGAAGCCGAGACGAATCGCGTGTTTTGTGACTGATCTACAAAATTCTTCAATTTTACGAAATTTGGTTCGTGATCAAGGCTTCTGTATGCAGTCTTTCTGAGCTGCAGTTTGACTGCCCGAAGTGCACCCGAGTCATAGCTCGGGTGCAACTCGGGTGCGCCACCACCGCACGAAACCCGTTCCTATTGGTGCTCGTCGGATCACGTGACGAAAACTGCAGCTCAGAAAGACTGCACACAGAAGCCTTGTTCGTGATGTCAACCTCACAAGAAAAAGTCAACGACATAAGACAACTTAAGGCACTATTGGATAAGATCACGTCCTACCGGGATGAAGGACACAATAGGGAGCGTCCATAAATCACGTGATCGATTAGAGGGGGGGAGGGGGTCTGAAATTTGTCACCAATTATCACGAGGGGGGGGGGTAGATGGTCAGATGTCACGTGACATGAGTAAAGTTTTGTATATGCCAATAAATGTCATGAGAGTTATATATAAATTCTCTTGGCATACCGCACACACGTTATATAGATTTGATTTTCATTTTGCATATTTAGAAACTTGCTTCGACTTAAAATTCTTATATCTGACTGGCGTATTAAATAGTTATTTACACATGTGTGTAGCTCTAATTTGATTAATGATTAAAAAACACTGGAATAATATTTTTATTCCGGACAACATGATTAAATTTGACCATCATCTGTCACGTGACTGGTAGGGGGGGGGGGTAGCGAAATTATCACCAACGGTCACCAAGGGGGGGAGGGGGTCAAAATTGTCGAAAAATCGATGACGTGATTTATGGACGCCCCCATAGTGGTAATATTTAATTGTATTTGTTACTTAATTTAGTTTGCTAAATTGCTAATTGACTACGCTTGTAGGAACAAAAACAAATACCGTCAGGTTTTTTTTTTATTTCTCGTAAGATGAGAATCATGGAATGTTATTATGCCTCCAAACTAAATAGTTATGCTTTTTTCCTACCTTCTAGATAACGAAATCGATGAAATGTATATAAGAGGTAACCGTTTAATCTCTTTCAAATTAAACTTTCTAATGTTCGGGATTGATATGTTTCACTCATATACAATTATTTTTTAATAATAAATAGTTCGAGACAATTTAAGCCAGATTAAGCCGACAGTCGATCAGGCCTATGACCGATGTTTAACGCTTATAGGCGATGATACAAATTATATGATATCCCATTGAACGATGATAAGTTATAACTATATTACTACGCGCATGAAATCGCATTAGTAAGTCGTTAAGAAATTGATAAATAAATGTTAAAATGAGATGATTAAAATTACTATATTATGTATTTCTTACAAAATTGCGAGTCTCTTGAAATGCGTAGAGAAATTTCGCCTGAAAAATTTGGGTTTAAATTATCATGAAATGAACGATTGAAATAAATTATGGAAAGGAAACAAAATGAAAATTGTGCCAATCTTACTTGAATCATCTTACATTACATACATCTAAAAAAAAATCCAACTTTCATGTCATATTATGGTCATCGTCACGATTTTGGACGTCACGTCAATAAAATGGAACCATTATTGATAACAGCAATATGCAAATTACTAACACTATCATCGCGAAGCTTTATCATTTTGTTTAGTAAATAATTCTCCAGAGTATTAAAAATTTAGTTAAGAATGTGACCTAATTGATGTAGTTTGCATTTTCTAACATGCGGAAGTCAAAAGTGTCAAAACAAACATTTTCATACATGATCGAATCAAACTAGTCTAGTTTCGCATTTTGTACCATTTTTAAAAATAATTGGTATCACGTATTTTTATGAATCCGTAAAGCATCTAATTGTTGCATGGAATAGACATGGAATAGTAATATGTATGGTATAATAAATTAAATTAAACATTACACAAGTTTTCAACGTAAGAAACTCTTCTGTGACTTTATTCCAGTTGTTGATAGACAAGTCATGAGAGAAAAATATAATAAATCTATTAATTAACGGTTGGATTTAGCAACACGTTCCAATTCATCCTTCTTCTTGATGGCGTATGAATTTGAGGATCCCTACAAAAATCAAATTAAATGGAATATTATCATTCATTCTGCGTGTGTGGCAAGTTAATATTTTAATATAGTTAATATTTTATACCTTTGCAGCGTTTATCAACTCATCAGCCAAACACTCTGCAATCGTCTTAATATTCCTGAACGCAGCTTCACGAGCTCCAGTACAGAGCAGCCAGATTGCCTAATTAAAACAAGTAAACAACGACTTAAATAGATTTCTACGACAAACAATATCCCTCATTTTTCTCGCCCGATAAGTCAGTCATTAAATTACCTGATTAACTCTCCTCAAAGGAGACACATCAACGGCCTGTCTTCGGACTGTTCCAGCACGTCCAATACGGGTAGAATCTTCACGTGGTCCTCCGTTAATGATGGCGTTAACCAGAACTTGCAGTGGGTTCTGGGACAAAAAGTAATTTATCAATATTACCCATAAATACGTAAGGTAAATCTGTTAAAAGCTAACTAACCTCTCCCGTCAGAAGGTGGATTATTTCGAAGGCATGTTTAACAATTCTAACGGTCATCAATTTTTTACCGCTATTTCGTCCGTGCATCATGAGCGAGTTGGTGAGTCGCTCAACGATTGGGCATTGCGCCTTGCGGAACCGTTTCGCCGCGTATCGCCCAGCCGAGTGGGGCAAGTACTTTGCATACTTTTCTTTCACGGCAATGTAATCCTGTCAATTAACAATATCATAATAATTAGTAATTACCCATACGTTATAAATAATAAGATAAGCTACCGACTTACCTGGAGGGACATGTCCGACACTTGGACATCGTCACACGACCATTTATTGAAAAGTTTAATTTCCGGAAGCTCCGCTGGTGCTGGAGCGTAGGAGATTGATTGGTGGGGCTCTGCCACCATTCCGGTCCCTTCATCCTCCCAGTTGTCGGCCATGTCGAAGGTCAATATTTTTCGAAATCTGGTAAAATTTCCAAAATAAGATGCGGCGAAGAGTGCGTGAGGCAGGAGAGCTACGGCATGGGACTAAATTCAAGCCAGAGCGGTGGTGGTGGTGGAGGTGGTGATGATGCAAAATATCAATGACGTCGTCGCACAGTGCCCCAAAATAATAAGGACAGTCTCATTCTTTGTCTCACAATGCGTTTGTCTCATTTTGCCTCATTTGTATTTTTGTCTCATTACCTCATCTTGTCTCATATTGCCTCATTTTGTCACATTTTGCCTCGTTTTACCTCATTTTTAATGTGAATTTTTAATGTGAGAATTGTGAAATGACATTTTTTGATTTAAAAGTTATGTAACCAAAAGTGAATTCATTATTACATTGAAAATAAACTGTCCAATAAAATATTTAAAGTTGTCTAAACACTTTCCCTCATTTTGAGAATTATTTTGACTCCAAAGCCACACACATTTTCTGACATTTTCCCAATTTAATTCATGATTTTAAAAAATATATATCGCAGACGGCAGAAACTGCAAACGAATGAAATAATTTTTTCATTGGTCGAAAGGTCGATACAAAAGTTATGCTTTAACTTATTACTTAACTTATGAGCCAACAATGTAACCAAAAGTGGATTCATTATTACACTAAAAATAAACTGTCCAATATAATAGTTGCTTTAACATTTTGGCTCAGTTTGTCTCATTTTGTCTCATTTTGAGACTTATCTTGACGCATGAAATGAAATTCTTTTGATTTGTCGAAATACAAAAGTTAGACTTACAACTTATTGCAATAAGCATTACACTAAAAATAAACTATCCAATGTCTAAAGTTGTTTTATTTTAACGTAATGAAAGTTTCCATGAATGATAACACAAAAGATAATATTGAATTTATTCAAAATACAACCTTTTTAATAAAAATATATATTTTAGATAAAATGCATTTAGAAAATGAATGATAAATTATTAAAGTCGTAATCATAATAATAAGAGTAAAACTTGAATCAGTCAAGTCCAACTCGGCGATTTATTTTCTGTTTTGTCATCACGATTTTATGTAAACTAAACTTGAATGAATTTCAAAGATGTCCCGAAAACCAAGCCTTGATAGGGATAGGAGGTCCTCCCTCGGAAGTAATGATGGGAGAAGGAGAAGCAGTGGGAGTGGACATGGGGGACGACGCCATTCAAGAAAATCATCCAGTGGCCAGGCCAAAGATCTCTCACCAATTGTAGAACAGACCGTGGAGGAGCAGCCGATAAGTAAAGTGATAAGTCCGGAACCATCCGCTATTCCGAATCGGGGGTCAGGTTCGGGGTCAACGGGAGAAAGTCGGGTGTCAGGGCCGGTAGAAAATCGGGCACCAGGAGAAAATCGGATGTCAGGGTCCACAGGAGAAAATCGTACTTCCGGTTCCACGGGAGAAAATCGGATGCCAGGCTCATCAGAAAACCGACCTTCAGGCTCCACGGGAGAAAGTAGGATGTCAGGCTCCTCAGAAAATCATACTTCCGGTTCCACGGGCGAAAATCGGATGTCAGGCTCCTCAGAAAATCGTGCTTCCGCCTCAACGGGAGAAAATCGGATGTCAAGCTCTTCAGAAAATCGTACTTCCGGTTCCACGGGCGAAAATCGGGTCTCAGATCTAACCGAAAATCGTGCTTCGGGCTCCGCTGGAGAGAACCGAATGTCAGGGTCTCTCCCACCACGGTCCCCCCGCGTTTCTCAAGAAGGACCTCCCCCCGTTCACAGGTCAAGTGGTGGCAGTGGGAATTCTGACGGAGCTACTGTCACCAACAAAGTCAATCCTATCGGGTCCGGGTCAAATGGCTCGATCATTTCAATCGGTGGATCTCCGAGACGTCAAGGTTCACGAAGTTCACAAAACCCGTCCAACTTGCGGACTTCTCTCACAACTCTGCACATTGAAGGACAGCGGATTTCGGGACAGGACAATGGCATTGCAGTCATGCGAGGAGGTCAGCATCAAATTTTACAACTTTTACGTAGTACAACTGCAATAATCTCATTATCAGAGGGCGGCTATGCATTAATTTTCAACTTTTTCATTTCGACGACCACCGACGGTCAAACTTTTACCCAAATCTTATAGATCACAATAATTCCAAAATATTTTAACATATTTCTAAATTTTCAGACATAAATATTTATAAATATTTACCCTGTTATTTCAAAAATACGCAAACCTTTTAGATATTTTTTCAAAAATAGATATACTTTATAAATATTTCTTCTATGTGAGACGAAATTTGTTTCCTCAAAGAAATTCGACCACAAAAAATCCAGAGCATTTACAAATTTTACTAAAATTCTTATTCATAGTTTTTTCTGTACACATTTCTGAAATATTTTGGCGTTTTTTGCTAAAAATTAAATATATGTTTCCCCAATTTTTCGTAAATACATATCCGCCCTCTGATCATTCCTACTGATTTTTTTGCCCATTCCAAGGAGGAGGCTCGTGCGGGTTTCAAGCCACCACGACGGTCACAGCGGGGGACCAATTAGTCTCGGCCGGACCACCCATTTCCCTCGGGAGGAGGACACGCGTCGTGGAAACTATAATTCTCGACCACACTCCCACCCTCGACCTCGAGAAGGAGGTGGATCGACTCGTTTCCGTTGCAAGGGCGCAATGCGAACGAGAAAAGGACAAAGTCAGGAAAAAGTACGAGGCAGAAATTGACAAATTGAAGCTCGAGTTTGACGAAGAATTCCGCTCTTTGAAGGAATCGTGCAGTAAAGAGTGTGAAGTAATTTTTGCCACAAGCAGTGGCCGCGGAAGCCGTGGGGACATCTGGGGACATTAACATTGTAGGATGGGGGAAGGGAGGGGTTTGTATAAGATGGGGAGATGATGCGGACATCGAATAACCGTGGGGACATTGTCCCTCTGTCCACACGCTTCTGCGGCCATTGTTTTTCACAATGTTGTTTTATTAATTTGCATAATATCTTGTTGTTTACTCCAAGAGTAAGCGAGCCCAGTGTGAAATGACTATGAAGGCCATGCAGCAAGAATTTGCTAGTTTTGAGGTAGATACATGTGTTTCAATGTAAATTAATATAAAATATGCTAATCCGTATGTTCATTTGTAGGGAGAGAAAGCAAACTATGCTGGAATGCAGGATAAATTGGATGCTTTGCTAGTAATTTTATTAAATAATTTGTATACACGAATAAATCAATGGCACAACTGGCAAAACCCTCACCTTAAGCTTTGTGGAATTAAGAATTTTTACAAAATTCGTTTCTGGAATTTTTTCCAAACATTTTTTTCCAAAATTGCCTTGTAGAATTAAGAATTTTTCCCTTTAAGAATTTTCCAAAATTCATAACCGGTATCAAATCATGATGTAAACTGCCTGCATCTCTGGAGGGTACCTACAACATATGTTAACATATTACGAACTTTGTAAAAACTCTTCACTGGCATCAAATCATAACGATTTTTTCGAGTCACTAAAATTTGTGTTGTATTTAAAAAGGAATTCAGTCATAAATATTTTTAACAAATCTTTTACATTTCATAGACCGAGAAAGCCTCACTTCAACAACAACTTCAAACTTTTACTGCCAAATTGGAAACCTGCGAGGTATTTATTACATACAAATTGTCATATTTTATCCAAAAACTTATAACCGATGTAATGTTCAAGAATTTGTATTGTATTCTAGGCGGAGAAAGCTCGCTATGAAAAAGAATCGCAAAATTGCGAGGTTTGCGTACAAAATATTTTTTTTTAAATAAATAATATCATTAAGTTTCATTTTCTTAATGATTTCTTAATTTTTTCATAGAAAGAGAGAAAGAAAGCTCATCAAGAGTTACACGATTTGAAAGACACCATGCACAGCTGCGAGGTATTGGTTTTTACTACTGATTTTAATAATTTTTTATTTTTTTTTTAAATCCAGATTTAAAAAATAAATATTCAGTTAATTATTATTAAAATATTATTCAGAAAGAGAAAGCCAGCTTTGAAGCTGAGATTAAAGCCTTGAAGGAACAAATATTACAACTGGATGTATGTACATACAGTGGAATTATTTGTGGGTGTCACCTCATTTGCATATTTTGATGCATTAAGTAGCGAATATTTAACGTGGAAAGCCCGGGCATAGTGAGATTTATGCAAATGAGGTTACACCCACAAATAATTCCACAAATAAGTTTATTTTTACAAAATATAACAAATTCAAAAAATAAAACATTTCCTCGTGGCTCGTAAATAGGAGAACAAAATGAAATTAGAAGAGAAATTGAACCAACAAACCACCGAATTAGAGGTTAACATAATAAATTTCAGAAAAAACTAGTGACTAGTGAAAAATGTATCACATTTTAAACATTATTAAAATTTAAGAATAAAAATGCAACCCTGGAGAAAGAAATGGATGCTCTGAGACAGACTACGGGACGGTGTGAAGTAAATACGAAATTAAAATATGTCGTACAAAAATTAAATTTCTATAAAATTTTGAATATTTAGTTTTTCATTTTATTATTTAGGATGAAAAATCCCGTCTAGAAACCGAATTGACGGAAAGAATGACACAATCTGAAAATGGTAAGTTTTATTTCACGTCTCATCTTGCCTCACCGTGTCATTTACATATACATTTATAATACTAAATACATACATATCCAAAAGATACCCAAAAGAAGCTGGCTGAGCTAAATTCTCTATTGCAACAGGCACAAGATGAAAATGTAACGCTTTTCATGATTAAATACTTTAACAGTGCAATTATACTTAAATTCTCAAATGCAACTCTCAACTTTTAAGAAATCTTATGAGAAACAGATCAAGGAATTAAAAGAGGTCGATGAGGTAATAATTTTATTCAAAATTTTGAAGCACAGAATAAGTTCACGATTTTCACTAGCTACATATTTATGTGACTTCAAAAGACCTCTACATTTCAAATTTTTATTTTGTGGAATAATTCTGACCACAAAATAATTTACATGTCGTGAAAGTGGAGAAACTGACGATTTTTAAATTTTTCTCTATTATGAGAAAACTGTAATATGAACTGTCCTTTAACTTAATTGGTCAATTAATCGTGGTCACATATTTATGTACAATTTACGTATAAATCATTTCGTGGAAATCATATTAGCGACTAATTTTATTCTATTTGTCATTGTTATTCAGAGAGATCAGAAGCATTTACAGCAAGAATATGACGACCTCAAAGCGAAATATGTGTGTGGTCTCTACACTTCTTAAGTTTGACGACTAATCATAACTTCTTGATTTTCATAATTGCCTAAATTCCAGGATAAACGCATCAGCTTCTCCAAAAACTCTGATGAAATGAAATTTCTTAACGTAAGAAAATAAATATCTTAAAAATTAACAACTTTCATATACATATTCGTCAAATATATAGGACGAGAATGAAAAACTCAGGCAGCAAATGCAGCTGAAAGACAATGATATTTCAGAATTGAAAAGCAAACTGGCCACCAGTTTTGAAGATAACGACTCATTACGGACCGCAATGCAGGACAATTTAGCGAGATGCGAGGCATGGTTTTGTTAGCTCGTCGACACATACACAGTGGCGTCGGAAGCGTGGGGACAGAGGGACAATGTCCCCAGGGTTGTTCGATGTCCGCATCATCTCCCCATCTTATATAAACCCGTCCCTCCCCTATCCTACAATGTTAATGTCCCCACAGCTTCCGCGGCCACTGGTCACACATGCATATATTTATCTAACATTTCGAAAATAACAGGACAGGAATCAAGCCATGATGGACGAGATTGATTCACTCAGAGCTTCTGCGAGAAGGAAAAGCGTTGCGAATATGGTTATAAAATTTTCTCTCATTTTTGAAAAGTAAATTCCGAAATTCAATTTCGTTTATTTTTGTTTCTACCAGGCAAAAGGCCGTCGTTCCGTGAGTACTACTTCAACCGTTAAAAAAACCAGGATTGAAGGAGTCGATGCTGAAGGAAGCCGTTATCTCGATGAAGAACATCATCACACAAGTAAATATTACCAGAAATTAAACGGTCAATTTGGCGAAAACTCTTTTAGAGAAAAACTTTCGCCATGAAATAATCCCATTTGGCGAAAAAAAATTCACTCATTTTACAATACTTTTGAAGTACCTCTTGGCTAAAATAATGTCACATTTGGCGAAAATGTGAAAATGATATTTCACCAAGATCTCGTTATTTGAATTTTAGATTATTTGCATGAAATAATCTTTCGCCAAATGTAATTTAACAATTTTCGCAAAATGTGACATTAATTTTACAATCTTGTACTTTCATCACGTTTTTTTCTCCATATTGCCCAAAATTTATTTTCGCCAATTTCCCTTTCGCCAAACTGACCGTGATTAAATTTAACTAAAGCATACACGACTACACATTTTCCTATTTTTTTCCAAAGCCGAAACCACCGAAGAATCCACCGTCGACGACAACGATGATTACCCCCCTGAACGAACCTCAATTATCAGCAATCCCAGAAACTCCTCCATCTCCAGCAATCCCAAAAAAGCAATCGAACCTCCTCCACCAATTCCTCCCCGTTTCCCCTCCGAAAGCAGCGTCCCAACTCCATCTCGCTTCTCACTCGTAAAACCTCCCCGAAACCTCCCCTTCGTTCCCCCCGAAGAACCCCCAGAACGGATCTCATACGACAACAACGCCCTCGATCTCGCCACTCCCCGCTACTCCATCGTCAAAAGGACCGTCCCCCCTCCCCCTCCTTTGGAAGAAGTTCCCCTCGAAGAACCCCCACCTCCTCCGCCTCGCACCATCATCAAGAATCCCGCAAAAGATAAAAATTTCGAACCACCACCACTTTCATGCTCGCCATCGGAACAGTTACGCCGGGAGTGTCCCCCTCCACCCCCCGCTGAGAGCCATTTGGACTTGAAGTCCATCGTCAACAAGTTAGTCGCCCTGGAAAAAACGCTGGGACACTTTAACAACTATCATGAAGAGCAAATGGGCGAATTGCAGAGTAGCATTCGCGCCCAGGATGAACAGTATCGCGACGCTTTGGGGCTATTTTCCGAGGAAATTGGCACCATTAAGACGTTAGTGGTGGATAAGGTGAAACAGCAGCAGCAGCAGCAGCAGGCTCAAGTACCACCACCCCCACCACAACGCCCTCAGTCCAGTCAGCAGGGTGGACAACCGAGGAATGTCACTTATCAGAAGAAGACGTCCACCTCAACGTCCACCATTCGAAGGGTCGTCGACGACCCGGGGGATGATGACCAAGATGATTATCAAAATTCTTAAAATCGATTTATTATTCCGTAAAAAGTAATTAAAATGGCAAGTTTTACTATTTGATAATAAAGAGGAAATTGCAAAATCATGATATGCATTTATCTTGAACTTTTCCATTTTATGACGACAAAACTTTGTGTAACTCTTTAAGATCATAAAAATTTCAAAACATTTTTTCACACGCACAAAATTCGACCTTAAAATAATTTAATTAGTGTAATTAATTAATTAATTAAATTTAATTTAATTAATTTAATTAATTTAACAAAAAATGGTTCTTATATAGCATTTTCAATACAAAATTTGTATATGTATCACTTCACTTCCGTAATCTGTTGTTTTGTAGTTTTTATTTGTAACATCAATTAACAAAATAATTTTTATGTGACAAAACGAATAGTTTATTAGAAAAGCCCAGCTTGTAATTGTTGGACGACATCCAAGCTGCGAATTCTGGCCATGTTTCGATCAATTGATTGAAACGTTATGGCCAAATCTTCAGCGCCGGGAGGCGTTTTTACCGTCACTTTGTAGACGAGCTACATACATATTTCGAAAATTCAAAAAATTTGTGTTTAAGAACTAGTAAATTATTAAATTAAATATTACTGACTCGGATAAACTCCAAAAAGTCGATTGATCCTGAACCATCGTCAATCGTGGCAAAGTACTTTTTCCTCGTTTCGATGGATGTAATGTCCCCAAATTCTTCCAGCGTGGTGCAGCTTAAATTTTTAGTAAGTATGAAAATCAGTACGATAAAAGCAACTTGCTTAAATTTGTTAACTTACAACTCTTCAAAGTCCAGCAATCCGTCCCCCGTGATGTCAAAAACTTGAAGAGTTGACCTCAACCTGTCCACCATGACATCATTCCATTCGGGAAACTGCTTCAGGTCGACTTTGACCGTGTGGTAGTTGTCCTTCGCGGCCTTGGATTCTTTCCGGTATCGAATAATGGCTTCGAACAAGGCTTGCGTGGCTTTCTCGTAGTTCACGGCAATCTCCACTTGTTCCGAGGAGGGGGACATTTCAGCCTCGTCGTCATTGGTCGGTTCTGGTCTCACGTTCCCTATGAAGAAAATGACAATTAAGTATTAGAATTTAATAGCTTTTATCCCTACACATTATGAGAGGTGGGCAAAATACTTTGTCAAAATACAGTATTTTGAACTCCGTTCTTCTTAGGGATTGGATTTCCAGGGCTGTTACACCCACAAAAAGACGAAAATCTATGTGGAGAAGACAACAGTCGCACGAAAATACAGGGTTTGCCAAGAAATGACCTTTTTATCGCTTCGAAAATGCTTTAAAAAAATCGTGAAAATAAGGTATTTTGACTGCGATAAAAAGTTGATTTCTTCAGAAAACCTGTATTTTCGTGCGACTGCTAGCTGCTGTCTTTTCCACGCAGATTTTCGTGTTTTTGTGGGTGTAACAGCCCCGGAAATCCAAACTCTGAGAAAAATGGGGCTCAAAATTATATATTTTGCACACCCTTGCAAATTCCTTACCCGACGAGGGGTCGAAACGGTCATCCTCATCGAAGTAAATGGCCGCCGAGGAGAGCATGGGGAAGGTGGTGAGACGTTTCAGAAGACGCACAGCCCCGCCCAAAATGCTGTGAATGGTAATCTTCTGATACCATTTGAGGGGTCGCGTCGTCTCGCGGGACGCTCGCAGATTTTGGGTCATGTGATTTGAAGGGGTGGAAGCAGCCCTGCGCAGAGTGGGGTCGTGGTCCCAAGGTCCCTCGGTGACGGGGCTGTTTGCAAAGGACGCCCAAGTGCCGTCTTTGTTGGTCAGAATCTGACCCGTTGAACTAGACGTGGGAGACGCCATGATGATGATGGTCAAGTTTTTGCGAAAATGGTAAAGTTTTCGAGTGCAAAATAAAATAAAATTCGACAAGCACAAAACCCACAATTTTGACTTCCTTGACAATCAATTTCTGAAATTTTGGATTAATTGAGGGTGTGAATCAAGGTTGCTAGACAACTTTAGTAATAATAATTACAAGGTTGCGACAATTGCTTCGACGATGAAAAAACTTCAATTTTCGAAAACCCTGGTACCTTTGGCACCAGTGTGCGTCGCACAAACTGTCGCCCAGAAACAAACCGCACAAAAATTGTCAACACTTTGAGAAGTTCAGGGTTTCCCTGCGCGACACTAATTTTTACTTTGCATCATCGCAGCAATTTTTTAGGCAATTTCACCAGCAATCAAGAACAAGTATTGTGTTTGTTTCCTCTCATAGCAGTGAAAGCAGTTATCTCACATCAGTTGCAATGGTTCAGTGCGCAGTGGTTGGATGCAAGAATCGCCCGGAAGTACAACGGAACCTGAAGTTTCACCGCTTTCCTTTGAGGAATCTCCCTCTAGCTGTGAAGTGGAACTCAATTTGTGTCCCCAATAATCCAAGCAATTTGAGCGGAGCCAAAAATCGTAGAATCTGTAGCAGGCATTTTCGGGATGAGGATTATCGAACCATCTCTGGGATAAGAAGCCTTATCGCGACAGCGGTCCCATCGCTTCATTTTTCTGCCGGTTTGCAAACAAATATTAATATTTAGGCCAAACTTATATTTAAGTAATACGGCTTAAACTAGATGTCAACAATCCTCTTCTCACTCCATCACACGTTGTAAACGTCGAGGTCAAGCTTGGAAGTGCTCCGTTTGTGTTCGTTGCTGTGAACCATTCTATCATAAGGGTCAAGTAATTGTAAAACATATGATTTATAATGGTAATATGAGTAACTATTTCACATGCGGTCATAAATTACTAATCATACTAATAATTGCAGCTTTACAAATACCCAAAATGACGTTAACGATCGAATCTTCAGAGCCACAGCAATTGTTAGCCACCAGGAGACCCCACCTCTAGAGGATATCCAAGCTCAGCGTGATCTCCAGGAGGAAAAAATAAAGAACCTGCGTGGACAAGTAATGTACTGGAAGGGAAGATCTTCAATAAATCGAAATAAGAAGATGAATGTTGCAAAAACCTACAAGTCCGCAATTGCAACGAATCGACGGAGGACTCAGATGGCGAAGAAAACATGGCGAGCTAAATACATAAAGACTCTATTCGCTGCAAATGGTTACCGTAAAGCACTGGAGAAACTCTTCACCCAAAATCAAATCCAAATGCTGGTGTCTGGACGAAAACACATTTTGTGGAACAATGAAGAGAACAACCAACCAAAACTACCCGTTTCCTTCGACAAGAACTCTTCAGAGGCAGACTCACAAAATTCAGTTTCGGCCAGGAATCATCATGCCTGTCATTAATCTATTAAAGAACTACTTTCAGAATGAACCTGAATTCAAACGCCAATGCGCCTTCGTATTCGACGAAATGTCGTTGGATGGATCCTACGCCTATTGCCCAGACGAGGACAAAGTTTATGCTCCAACTGTAAACATTAATGTTTATTTTGTCAGAGGACTCTTCTCAGAGTGGAAACAGCCTATCGGGTACGAGTTTGACGACGAATTCAAAGTCGAGAAAATATTGGAAATGATTAAAGTGGTCCAAGGTGCCGGTTTGAAGGTGCGAACGGTGACGAGTGACTTAGGAGGGAAGAACCGTGGACTAATGAACAAGTTGGGGGTGATGGTACGGAAGAATCAGTGCTGAATGTAAATGTGTCGGCTATTTCGGCGTGGTAGCAGAAATTTTTGTGCTTTAATTACCGTTAGCGACAGCCCAAATAATTAACCCTTCAAAAATGAAGGTTTTTGAGGCTCTCGAAGCAATTGTCGTAACCTTGTATTATGATAAATTGTCAAGCAACCTTGGGTGTGAATCGAATAACGACTTGTCAACAAACTCCAACATTTTATTCTGAACATTGGTAATAATATCACCTTGGATATGATACAAAAACCTACTTCAAGCAACTTTGTGGAGCCTTTTAAGATGGCATTAATGCCATCTTGGTAGTCAATGGCAACACATTTGGGTGGAAAAGACCCCCACCGGCCAACCACTTGACCGATCATGCCCATCTCCGAACTCATCCTTACTTTTTACCCGAAGATGAAGTATGCAAAATTTCAAGTCGATAGCTTTTGTTTAAAGAGAGTTATCGTGCCTACAGACGGACGGACAGACGGACAGACAGACATCTTGACAGATCTATAAGGCCATCTTAAAAGGCCTAAAACGGTACCCAGGTCTTAAATTTTTAGCCTGAGTCAGGGCTTATGGAACCGTCATGTCCGTCCGTCCATCCGTCTGTCCGGCACGATAGAGCCAAAACGGCTGAACCCATTGACTTGAAATTTTTACCAATGCATATTGGACAAACGAGTTCGAAGATGGGCGAAATCGGTCAAGTGGTTGACCGGTGGGGGTCATCGGAGTAGGTGGGGTGTTTGCACTAAAATGTCAAAATTGTCGCAGAAAGCTGAAATTTGGTACAGAGGTTGATAATGGTTTCTAATGAAAGAATATAAAGTAAAATTTCAAAAATTTTCATCTGGAGGGACCCTTGGGCGTTACCCATACCGATTTTTAAAACATCCAATCGAACTGAAAATTGGTGTGGGGTTTGCTAATGGAAGAGTATAAATTGAAATTAAAAACATATACTTGGCTTCAAATTCTACAAATATTTACTATCCCTTACCCTTGACTACTTCCCACGACCAGTAGAGGTCGCCCCTATAAAAATTTCGAAATTCAACCATCCCATATGCTAATCATAAGTATTTTCGACTCCATACTAAATTTACGATGATTATATCAACTTTTAGAAATCGGTATTTGGTACCCCCTAGTGCCCTCTGGTTAATTTTAGTTCATATTTGACTCTATATTACAGTTATCAGCAATAAGGATCTCTGGTCTTGCCTTGAGTAATTATTACTCAAGGCAACGTCTTATTTAGCGTAACAACTTATTTAGCAAAGCTTACGAAGCTCAAAGAACTTGTGGGATTCGCAAAAAATTTCGCAAATCTGCACAAAAAGTTTTGTCATATTCTATTTTAATTTGTTTTTCATGGATTATTTGCAATTTCTAAAGCATTTAATAAGGATCATACATAATAAAATTTTGCAATCAATAAACAAATACACGAATGGGAAATATGAGACGATTTTTGGGAAAGGTTATTTTTGAGGCAAAGTGAGACAAATAATGAGAATTATTTATGATAACTTTTCTTTCTCTTATCCACCTGCGTCTGGACCGGCATTGTTATTTTTGGGTTTCTTATCGGTTTTATAAATCGGGGGCGGAAATTAAATTTGTATCACGAAGGATTTTTTTTAGAAAAAGATTGGCTAAAATTTAGACAAAAATTGAGTCAATTTCACGCCAAAAGTTGATTTGCCAAACACTGAATTTTATTCTACATGGAGTTTTAGATCCAATTTGGAGAATTAAATCATGTTCTTTGATCCTTTTTGAACTTTTTGAACGTTCTTGTTTTTAATTAATATACGATCAATTAATTTTGTTGGTGTTAAGCAATGGTTTTAATGAACAATTAATTTACTTAATTCGTGCAAAACACAAAGTTAAGCTGTGCTTGGTCGGAACCGTGAATTGAACTGGACTTTGTCCGGCTTTGGACAAAGCAATGAAAGAATAAACTCTTGCAAACGACATGTAGCATAGGGATGAAGCGACACGGTCATAATACTTCAAAACCAACCATGTTTATTTCTGAAATCCTCCCCCCAAACCATACCTGTTCACTTTCATTCATTTGCTTGATTATGATGGTGAATGATAATTAATGAAAATGAATTTCCTGCTATTTGAGTGAAAATGAATGAATGATTCAATCATTTCAGATGAGTGACTGTGAATGAAAATTTTTCACTCCTTTCATTTTTCACCCTATGCTCAATACATGAGACGAAGTAAGAAATGAAGTGAAATGAAATGAAATGAATTTGAACGAAAATGACTGAATGTAAATGAAAATCTTCAGTCAGAAATTGGGATGACTGACTTTTGAATAAAAACTAAATTTTTGAACAGGTATGCCCCAAACTACGTCTGAAACGGTTGAAATAAAAAATTCGACATCTTTTACCATTCGCCTCATCGCCGTGGCGTCGTGACCTTATGACCTACCACGCCCAGCTTCGAATTCATCCATACTTCTTATAAAAATTAGAAACACTTTTGCGAAACCCGCATGTCGAAATTCTAATCCTTCCTTTGCAAACTTTTTCGAAATCTCTCAAATTTCGCAAAAATTCGCAAAATGATTTATGCTGGTATGCTCAATTTGTGAGATATGTGAAGTTGACGTTAGTACGCTCATACATAATAAAATTTTGTAATCAGTAAAGGAATGGGAAATATGAGACGAGTTTTAGGAAAGGTTCTTTCTGAGGGAAAGTGAGACAAATGATTAGAATTATTTATGATAATTTTTATTTCTCTTATCCAATTGAGTCTGGACCGGCAATGTTATCTTTGGGTTTCTTATCGGTTTTATAAATCCGGGGCAGAAATTAAATTTATATCACGAACGATTTTTTCAGTAAGGATTGGCTAAAATTTGGACAAAAATTGAGTCAAGTTCACGCCAAAAGTTGATTTGTCAAACACTTAATTTTAATCTACGTGGATTTGTAGATTTCTTACCACCGTGATGTTCTTTGATTCTTTTTGAACTTTTTGAACGTTCTTATTTTTAATTAATACACAATTAATTAAATTTGTGCATGCAAAACAATTGGTTTCAATAAATAGTTAATTTTTACTCTGGACATTTACAACCAAAGAAAATTTCATAATGTATATTTTGCATATTTATTATGTATCTACAAGACAATAGACATGCATATGTATGTATGTTTTTGAGCCTTCTTCTTCTGCTGGACACCCACCGATCGTCTAATTTGTAGCTTTATTCTTTCATTGCTTTGTCCAAAGCCGGACCAATAATTGTTCATTACTTATATTAATAATGAACAATTATTATTCGTAACGAGACATGAGAGAAAGCACGTAAAGTTTTTTTTATGTCAACTATTTCAGAAAGAACAATTCGTATAAAAAAACTTACGCTAAATTTGTGAAAGTTTCTCGCACAGAAAAATTGTGCACATTTAAAAATGTGTACATACATCGGCTCCCCGACAGCAATGCTCCAGACAGATATGCTTCCGGCAAGTATGCGCGGACAAGAATTCTCCCGGACAGAAATGCTTCCGGCACAAATGCTTCCGTCAAATATGCTTCTTGACACAAATGCTTCCGTCAAATATGCTTCTTGACACAAATGACAAATGCGCCGACGTAAGTACTGCACAGTAATTCCTCCCAGCAATTATCTCCTACCCGTGATATTTTTTAGCCAACAAAATAAACGCCTTATATAATTGTGAATGATGCTCTGCATTTTCTTTATAATATTCTTCTTGGTACATATTAAAAAAATCAAAGATTTAGATAAAATTAAAAATATCCTCAATCAATAAAATCAAAATATCATCAATCAATACATTAAAAAATATAATCAATCTATAAAATTTAAAAAATCATCAATCGATAAAATTAAACATAAGTCAATAAAATTAATCTCATTTAAATACAATGCATTGAGCCGCTCCACGATTTTTTCGAATTTTATTGATTGATGATTTTTTTAATTTTATTGATTGATTATATTTTTAATTTTATTTAAATCTTTGATTTTTAGCCCGAACCAGGGCTTATGTAATTGTCATGTCCGTCCGTCTGTCCGTCTGTCCGTCTGTCTTTCGATAACTCTCGAACGAGTTGAGCGATTTTTACCAAATTTGGTACAGACATGTATCTGGGCAATGCAACGACCGAGTTCGAAGATGGGTTCGATCAGAAAAGTTTTTGACCGGTGGGGGTCATCAGAGTGGGTGGGGTATTATGCACCAAAGTTTCAAAATTGTCGTAGAAAGCTGAAATTTGGCATAGAGGTTGCTAATGGTTCCTAATGAAAGAATATGAAGTAAAATTAGAAAATTTTTCAACCAGAGGTACCCGAGGGGGTGACCCATACCGATTTTTCAAAATCATCCAATCGAACTGAAATTTGGTATAAAGGCTGCTAATGGCCCCTAATGGAAGAATATAAAGTGAAATTGATAAAATTTTCATATTCTGGGACCCGTTGGGGTGACCCATACCGATTTTCAGAACTTGTCGGAAAAAAGCTGAAATTTGGAACGGTGATACTTAATGGCTTCTCATGAAATTATATGAAGTCAAAGACGAACAAAAACTCACCAGTGGGGCACTAAGGGGTACCCATACCGATTTCTAAGAGTTTATATATTCAGCTAAAATTTAGTGAGGAGTCAAAAAATAACTTAGGATTATAATTTTGGAGGGTTAAACTTCGAAATTTTTATAGGAACAGCCTCCACTGTTCGTGGTATTTGGTGCCAAGTAATACTACCAAGTGATGTTAGTTAATGCAAAAATTAATGAAAAATAGTATAACATTCTGACAAACATGAGTTAACTAATCAATCCTGGTTCGGGCTAAGCAAAGCTGTACTGATAGGTTATTTAAATATGTACCAAGAAGAATATTATAAAGAAAATGCAAAGCATCATTTACAATTATATAAGGCGTTTATTTTCTTGGCTAAAAAATATCACGGTAGAAGATAATTGCTGGTAGGAGTTACTGTGCAGTACTTACGTCGGCGCATTTGTGTCAAGAAGCATATTTTACGGAAGCATTTGTGTCAAGAAGCATATTTGACGGAAGCATTTGTGTCGGAAGCATTTCTGTCCGGGAGCATTCTTGTCCGCGCATACTTGCCGGAAGCATAACTGTCTGGAGCATTTCTGTCACCAACTCCATACATCTTTCACGTGCTTTTCTTTAAAAAAATACACATATTTTGTAAATATTTCAAAGACTTTTTTAACTCCGCAAAAAGAAATCCGACCAAAAATAAATCCGACGATTAAATTCAGAAATACTAATTTTTCCGAAAATGAAAATTCTCATTTTTATGTTTTTTCGAACATATTTCGTAAATATTTTGGAGTTTTTTTATGTAATGCCCTGGCTACACTACTGTCGTAAATTTTTTCAGAGTTAACTCTAGAGTTTAACGCTGAAATAAAAACTCCAGCCACATTGCATTTTGTACCGTTGTAATTTTCAGGGTACCAAATCTCAGTTATTTCTCAGAGGTGGGACTTTTAAAAATTTACCATCTAAAAAATAATAATTTAGTTTAAAATAAGTGTCGAGAAAGGGTTGAACTTTCGACATGGATTTAACAATAATTAGCTCGTCAATTTTTCATTCTTGGAATTTCATTAGACGTCCAGGACTGACTATATTATCACCATTTCCCTTCCATCAAGTGAAGACCCTGTTGAGAGTGCGAAACTCTGGAAAAGTAAAGAAGAGAAGGTCTTGCTGGGCTTATCGAGTTTCGCTTACGTATCTACATCCGCAAAAGAAAAACGTGACCATATGGCACGCTCTTTTGCCAATGAATGAAAATCTGTGGCCCTTTAATTACTAATTAAATAGCGAATGAAGAGTCGTTGTTTTCAACTGTATTTACAATTTGTTAATTATCATATTATAGCAGAAAAATAAATACGTACATAAAACTTTATCAAATTTAGTACATGTTTATTGCTCTCTTTCACTCTTCATGGCTATCAATTTTCAGGGCTTTCAATTTTCATTTAATTTTCGTGTCTGAATTTCAAAATATGTCGCTCCACTGTCGAAGAATTTCGTCATGGCCTGTAGCCTGATTTTCAGGCGATCCCCAAATCCGTATTAATGAGAGGTTCTCGTCTTGCGAAAAACGATTTGCTTTTTTTACCAACAACTTCGATATTTATTTGCGACTCCATTGATTTAAATGTTCTTATAAATTAAATGAAGACGAAGAATTAATATTTGGAAAAATAAGTGGACTCTCGTCATTAAATTGGAAATCGCGCTTAAAATTTCAATGTTTAACGCTGAAGTAGCATATTGGTATAGCTGGAGTTCGTAGTAAAACTCTGAACTCTAGAGTTTTACTAGTGAAATTTTACTAGTAAAACTCTGGAGTAAACTCTGAACTGGTTGCAAGTTACACATGTAGCTGGCCTTATGCATTTTCCCATATTACCAGTAAACTCTAGAATATTACGTCGGTAGTGTAGCCAGGGCATAAATATTAAATACATATTTTATACAGTAATTTTTTGAAAAACATATCCGACCTCTGCCTATTACATATTTAGAATTCACTTGTCTCATCATTTTGCAAATTTGTTGTTACTGCAAAATGTTACCTATGCGATACCACGATTGCTTGACTTTTAGTGCCTAGTTACCCTTAACGGTTGCGACAAATGGTCGAGTTACAAATAAAATAATTATTTTTAAAATAGTTGGTGTAAAAGTCCCTTACAAATACACCAACTACTTTGACCTTTAATAACTTTTGAACGGACAGACATAGAGACTTAATTCTTAAAGATGAAATCATCGTAATTTTTAGCTTGATTTTTTAAGCTAAAAATCTCGAGGGTACCATTTCGAAGATTGAACTTGAAATCTCCAGTGTGCAGCCTTTACGAGCCCGAGTCAAGCTCGCTGTTATCGGTCAAACCGACCATTTTGCATAGAATTTTACTGTACCAAATGCATTTTACTAATGCACTTTACGCCAGTTTTTGTCAAATATACAATTTGTATTATGCACGTGCATACATAGTATGCAATGCATACTATGCATTGGTGAAAAATTTAACTAAATTTAGGGTTTTAGCCCGAATCAGGGCTTATGTACCCGTTATGTCCGTCTGTCCGTCTTGCGTCTTGTTATCTCGTAAAACTAATCGTAACAAACAATATGAATTAAAATAGGAAAATTTTCCGAGTTTATTAAGTTCGTGTTTTGTAATGGTTTGTATACCAAAAATAAATCACAAAATTATATGCACATCGTTCATTACGAGTCCTGCTCTCAGAATAATGCCATCTTAAAAGGCTCCGCAAAATTGTTGTCTTTTTCGCCTAAATCAGTTATCATGTCCTTCCGGAACACGATAGCCAAAATGGCTGAACCGATTGAGCTGAAATTTTCAGAACGGGTGAGACCGTAGGGCTTGATCCATACAGATTTTTCAAAAATATGCCACTCCACAAGTTTAAATGCTTTTGGTACATTACAATTTCATGGAAAATGGTTGGTTTGACCGACAACCACAGAGTCTGACTCGGGCTCACTGGAGATTTCAAGTTTAATTTTCGAAATGGTACCCTCGAGATTTTTAGCTTAAAAAATCAATCAAAAAATTACGATGATTTCATCTTTAAGAATTAAGTCTCTATGTCTGCCCGTTCAAAAGTTCTTAAAGGTCAAAGTAGTTGGAGACTCAAACGCCCTTTTTGAACCAACGATTTTAAAATGAATTTTTAATTTGTAACTCGACCATTTGTCGCAACCGTTAAGGGAGACTAACGTTACCTAGATACTTAAAGTCAAGCAATCGTGATGCGATACATAATTAATTTTAATTTGTAACATGAAACAAAAATCATAAATTCATAATGACACGTAAATTATGACTGAATTTGAATTTAAACCTAATGTAAAACCTTTGAGCAAAATGGTCGACACTTCCGAAGATCGGTTATCATTTAAGGAAATCATAACATGGGAACAATGGACCACGCTGGCTCCTTTCAAACTGGGAAAAATTCTATTTGGCTGGATTTACCTACGAATATTTATCGACGTTTTGATATGCTTTCTGCAGGTCGGTTTCGAAATTCGAATACGAAATCTTGAAAAAAAATTCTAATTTAAAAACTTGTGAACGAAACATTTAGATCTACAAAGACTGGAATTGCACCGAAATTCCTACCACTTTCAGGGGTCAAGGCGTCACCGCGGAGAGATTTGAACGTTCCAGGACGTATCGTTTACACAAACATTATGCAAAAATCGGATGCTACGCGTACATTCTGGGGGTCGTTCACTATGTAATTAAACACAGTTAATTAACATAGGACGCGATGACTTATCACCAAAATGGTCAAAATCAGCACGTTTTTAAACATTTCTGATGTCTGGGAATTTATTTTAAAATTCTGGACGACAAATTTGTAGTCAGTGAGTTGATTAATGGAATGACGGTGAGTTTTTGAAGTCAGTTTCGACGAGTTCAAATTTTTCTGGAGGTTTCTTAAACTTGAGATCTTCTCCTTCAAAAACGGTCAAAATCTGGAGTGTAAATTTTGAAAAATTGGTAACTCCCTCCTGCTCTACAAATTTGTAGTACAGAATTTTCAAATAAATTCCCAGAGGCAATAAATCATTAAAAATGTGCTGATTTTGACCATTTGTTGATAAACTACCGAGTACTGCGTAGATAAATTAACAAGATTTAATTGTTCATTAAAATTTGTTTAAAGATTTACATTGGGAAAGGCGCCCTTTACCTTTTGTGGAATTGGAGTGGCGACATTCTCACCGTTTTAGGAATTTGGCCGGCCAGTTGGGACCAGGAAATTGGATGGACCATAATTTTCATCATTATCGCCACCATTTTCTTCAACGTGTTCGACACACCGATTCGAGCATTTGATACCTTCGTTGTGGAGCAATATCACGGATTTAATCATCAATCCGTCATATTTTTCATCAAGGATGAACTGAAAATAAATGCTGTCGAAGTCATGATTGGTCTCCCAATAGGAACGATTGTAGTCTACATTGTGAAAGTAAGTTGAAAAAATGCATAGGTAAAACGGGTGAAAGTAACCACGTGCAAGAAATAACGGGGAGAAAGTGGTTTCTTGCTGGTAAATATTTTGACCTGCAAGAAATGCGTGGCGTAAGAAACCACTTCCGGTCGCGATACTGCATACGGCGCGTGGCTAGATAGCCCATATTTCTTGCACTTTCTCCCAGTTTCTTGCACCACGCGTTTCTTGCATTTCTTACTTTGCTGTGCAAGCATTGTAGCAAATCCGCAAGAAACGAAACACTGGGCTCAAATTATGCAAAAATTTGCACATATTATACAAGTAATAATCCCAAATCCTTTCATTAAGGTGACGCCCCACTTCTACTGGTACCTTTGGGCCGTGTCTCTCCTCATGATGGCATTTTTTATCGTTTTATACCCAAGATGGATTCTTCCCCTGTTCGACGAGCACGTGTCCCTCCCGGAAGGACCGTTGCGACGTGGGTTGACTCAACTTGCAGAAAAATGTGGCTTTCCACTTAAAGATGTCGTCATATTGCGAGAATCCAACAGAACGGCACACACGCTGACGTATTTCGTCGAGTTTGACCGAATTGTCCTCTCAGACAACTTTCTGAGAACGTATTTGATCGAGCATGCCAGTGAAAATGCCGTGGTCCACCCGTCCCCTCAAACGAGGGCGGAAATTCAAGCCGAACAGGATTTGAGAGGGGTGGGGTGCACGGAAGAGGAGATTGTGGCCTTGGTGGCGCATGAAATGGGTGCGAAAAATGGAGATGTCTCAGCGTATGCTGTCAGATTTTGAGCAAATTAGTGTTAATCGATCACAAATTTAATTAAGATGAAATTTACGAAGGATATATACGATCTCCCAATGGACACGTTTGGCAGAGATATTTGCATCCGAAGAGGAGAAAATGGACCCTAAACTTGACAAATTTTACACTTTCAAAACTTACTGCGCGTTTTTAGCCCGAGTCAGGGCTTATGGAACCGTCATGTCCGTCCGTCTGTCTGTCTGTCTGTCTGTCCGGCACGATAGAGCCAAAACGGCTGAACCGATTGACCTGAAATTTTTACCATACACATATTGGACAAAGTTAGGAAACGAGTTCGAAGATGGGCGTGATCGGTCCAGTGGTTGACCGGTGGGGGTCATCGGAGTGGGTGGGGTACTATGTACCAAAATTTCAAAATTGTTGTAGAGAGCTGAAATTTGGTACAGAGGTTGCTAATGGCTCCTAATAGATAAAAATGACTTCCAGTTGGAAAAATTTTCATCTTGAGTGACCCTATCGGGTGACCCATACCGATTTTTCAAAACCATCATATCCAACTGAAATTTGGTGGAGAGGTTGCTTATGGGTTTTAATGAAAGAATATGAGATGATATTGGTAAAATTTTTATCTGGAGCGACCCTATGGGGTGATCCATACCGATTTTTAGAAATTGCTTTAAAAAGTTGAAATCCGGCACAATTATACTTAATGGCTTCTAATTAAAGAATATGAAGTTAAAAGTGAGCAAAGTGCAACCAGAGTGACCCTATGGGGTGACCCATACTGATTTTTAAAAATCGTTATATTGAGCTGAAATTTGATATGGAGGCTGAAAAAGTGAAAACCACTGCTGGGTAGCACATGCATACAGCTTAGAACTTCAGGATGTTAAAGAAGCCCACTGGTCATGGTGGTCAAGGCACATGATTTGTAACTAATTCAAAAATTTGGTACCAAATGGTAGAAACTATCTAATAAACTTTTAACCATCCACAACGCGGAAGTTGGTGATATTATGTCGGTCAATTCGGAAACAAAATTAGAAGCGGGCTCTGACTTATTGAGTCAGGGACTATGCCCCTGACTCGGGCTATATGGAGTCTGCACTGTAGGTTTTTTTGTTTCCTCTTGGGATGCGAATATCTCTGCCAAACGTGCCCATTGGGAGATCTTGTCTTTCGAAAATTGTATCCTAATTAAATTTTCGATCGATTAACACTAATTTTTCAAAATCTGAGAGTATACGCTGGGAGGCATTGTAATCACAATAATTTGAATAATTTTTTCTAAAAAATCTATTCGTTCCTCAATTTTTAAGGGCACTGGAAAGCAAATCATTTATGGTGGAACGTCCTCTTAGCCTTTGTCAACTTGGGTTGCTTCTTTGGTGCATTTTCAGCCTATTACAACTCATCCGTGATGTACGAAGCGTTTCACTTTCCAAAAGCGTCCAAGAAACCGATTCTTATCGGACTTTTCATCGTTTTCAACCACATTCTGGTGAAATATTTTACATATTTTTGTGTATTTCACATTATTTTTCATACTCTATAAATTTCTTATTCTAGGACACGGTGAATTTCGTACGTGCAAAATACCTCTTATGCAGTGGCCGCGGAAGCGTGGGACAATGTCCGCACATTTATTCGATGTCCGCATCATCTGCCCATCTTATATAAACTCCTCCCTCCCCTATCCTACAATGTTAATGTCCTCAGATGTCCCCACGGCTTCTGCGGCCACTGCTTTTATGCAATATTGGCAATAATTGACCATAAATTTCTTTGTTTAGGTCACGGACCTCGCACTTCGAAAAGTTGCGAGGGTCTGCATCCTAAAAGCGGACTTATTTGCGGTCAAGCTCGGATATGGTGATCCCCTCCGGAGGGCCATTCTCAAAACGAATATCGACGACTACAACATTGGCGAATTTGACCCAATATACACGTTTTACTTTCTGGATCGACCCTCATTAAGCGAACGGCTTCAATTAATAGATGCCCAATTACGCAAAATGCAATAATTCATTTACATATGTACGAAAAAGAGAGATTATACGGTCCATTTAATTATGCTAAAAAGTAGTCATTTACATATCATTTTGCATAACTTACAAAACACTAAATATTAATTTGAGCTATAATTTCATCGCAATAATTATATCAATATTTATAAACTACATCGTGTTAACACAAAAAATTACTACACTCTGATAACATGTTATCTTTGCCTCATATAATAATCAATAGCGGAGGAAAACACGGCAAATCCTGCCGCACCGATAAGACCCGGTTTAACCCCGGCTCTTAACCCGATTAACCCTCCCGTAACTGCGCCTGCGCTCGTTCCGTTTTTCCAATCACTTTTTCCCCGATAAGATTCAATTGCACACTCCGTCGCAGCGAAAATGGCGCCCACGATGGCGAAATTTTTCGCATGGCTTATCGTCGTCGTCCTCATATCGCGAAATACTTCCCGTGCGGTGTGTTGGGGGCCGGGGTTGACGGAAGTTGAGAACAGGCCGATGACACCGCCAAAAGCGTAGCCAAAACCGTAGCTCATGGCACATTTGAAAAGACAACTTTCAAAAATGGCTTCTATCATGTTCTCCTCCTTCGTTTTGATAAGGACGGGTCCATACGTTCGAGGAATAAGGAGGCCTTGCCGCAACTTTGGTTCTGGGCTGATAAGTCGGAGCATTGCCGTTTTGAACTCGCCTGCTGATAAGGTGACCTTCTTCTGGGGGTTGGGGTCATGTCGGGGTGGGGCGTTGAAAAGCATGGTGACTAGGAAGGAGAGGGTCAAATTAGCGTCAAAATTTTAGAATTTGGTCACCCAAAAAAGGTGACAAAAGTGAAAAAGTATGTAAATCAATGGCTACGAAAGCTGTAGAGATGATGCGGACATCAAATAACCGTGGATTTCATACCAGTCCCTCCGTGGCCACTGGCTACAATAAAATAAATTTATTAACGCACTTTTGGAATTTCGATCCTAAAATGTTTGATCAACTGTAAATATTTGAGTGATAATGCTCCACCGATAACTTTTATAAATAAGGTATGTCCCCTTTTGTTTATCATAAAAATTGGGTAACTGGACAAACATCTTGAATTTGAGGTTATCCTTCACTCCTTGGTAACTTGCGCCAATGTTATAATTTAGCCCAAGTTTTTATATGGATGATGTGACTGCCAAACTTATATTTAGTGGAATTTAAGAAATAAAAGTTATGTTCAGATGTTCTTTCTGAATTTTCTTTTCTTTTCTTTTATGTGAGTGTAAATAATCTCATACATAGTGTCGTATAATAATTTAAATGTAAGGGAAAATTAGCATAACAACATGTCTGAGAAAGACCATACAACGCCGTCCGATGACGAGAGTGATGAGGACACTGAAAAACAATCGCCACCTGAAAATACGGCAGGACCATCAGGATCAACGCCTAGTGTGGAACATGATGCCCCCAAAGTTGAACAGAGCTTCGAAGTCATCAAGGGGCCAGGCCAAAGTGTCGCCCGAGCTGAACAGGAAACTCGGCCTGTTGACCGCAAGGAAAAGTCTACTCGACCTGTTGCCCCCGAAGAAGAATACACTCGACTTGGTGCCCCCGAGGAAAAGTCCATTCGACCTGTTGCCCCCGAGGAAAAGCCCGCTCGACCTGTTGCCCCCGAAGAAGAATACACTCGACCTGTTGCCCCTGAGGAAAAGTCCATCCGGCCTGTTGCCCCCCTCAAAGAAGACCAGCCACACCCTCACCCTACCGTCATTATGCCACAAGAAATTTCAGACTGTCCGCCTCCTCGCGAAATTGACCAAGCTAAATTTGCATTAGTCACATTTAACGATGGTACATACACCTATTGACAGACGGTTTGGCGAAAATAAATTGTTGACAAAATAGCAAAACAATGATCATATTGCCACATTTGGCGAAAATTATACATGTCATGTCATTTTTGTTTTTTCGCCAAACTTTAATAACCTTGTGCAAAAAATGCGGTGTGAATTTTTTTAGGGCGAATTTTTTCTTCGCCAAACTGCCAGGCTTCCATTATTCATTGAGCAAAAATGTATTATCAAAATTTTATTAAATATTTCCTAAACAGAGTGCAAATGTAATTGTCCCAGTGATCTGAGTAAAGTAAATTCCAAAATTGTACAATCATCCGATACCGGAAATGGGGATGGTAAATAAATTCACATTTTTAACTGAATAATTTGATGACCCCATAATTCACAAAGCCTGACCATGTACACAGACCCAGCAGATGCGTGTTGCAATAATAAAGAAATCCTATTTGGCGAGCCAGAGAAGCAATTTTTCAAGAATTTGGGACAAGAACTACTTTCCGTAGGGAGACAATTATTGAGCGAGTTTGGTCAAGCGACAAACAACCAAATGACGACAAATCCAAGTTGTTCGAATTCTAAGGTGGAATTTCCCTCGTGTGTCATTGGCACTCCTAAATTTTCGTATGTATGAATATTTCCGAATTTTAAATTTCCAAATTTTACATTTCCAAATACGCATTTTCATAGAGTTTCTGCCATACCTCGAAATAATCAGTCGGATTGCAAACAACCGATCACTGCCTCATCTGCGGTATGATGGCATTTTGTAAAATATTGTGTAAGGTTAACGTTTAAAGTTAGTTATCTTAGGCAGATAAGTGTCGCACAGTGACTTCGACAGAAATATCGTCAGGGGGTCGTATGCAGGATCTTGAGCGGAGTAAACTCGAATTTATCGCAGCATTCAGTCGAATTTGTGACACGTATAAAAATAAAAATAAAAAATAAATGACTAAACTCGTCTGGGGTTAAAATTCCTTTTAAATCTCTCTTGGAGCACATTTAGAATTGGATCCGCTTATCAGACCCCGGTTCAAAGTCAGTCGAATAAATGTGCCTCAAAAATGACCACTTCCGGAAGTGAAGGAGTGATGGAAGCTTTGTCGCTCGACGTGAAAAAAATATCGGACGAGATGGCCACCACTTCTAGTAAACCTACGCTGGAAGACGTTGCGAATAATTTGGAGAAAGTGGGACACATTTATCGTCATCATTATATAAAGAGCGGATATGTATTTATTTTCAACGCTTTCATTTGATAAAAACCGACGGTCAAACTTTGTGGGTGTGTTCCCTAACTCGCATGGATCAAAAATTTCAAAATATTTTACGTATTGTTTCATATATCTAGGTTTTTCGATTTTGAAATATTTCTTCCATTGAAATGCAGGAATATTTTGTATTTTTTTCAAGAATACGTACATTTCAACGATGTGAGACGAACTTTTTTGCTCAAAGAAATTGGATCACAAAAAATTCAGAGAAATGCGTTTAAAAATACAAATTTTGTAAAAATTCTTATTTTTACGATTTTTGTACATATTTCTTATTTTGACATTTTCCCATAAATATTAAATACATATTTCCGGAATTTTTCGCAAATACACATCCGCCCTCTAGTCATCGTTCAAAAATCAAAATTGAAATCTTCATCTGAAATTATTATCCCAACAGAAAATTGACGAGTTGACCTCCCGCTTGACCCTGTTAGAGTCCCAACTTCCAGAAGTGGACGCCTACACCGCAACTATTATGGAAACTTTGCTCAAACATAACACCACCACAACCGGAAATATTCTAAACGTGGAAAAAGACATTCTCCATTTAGCCAAAATGATCCACGAGTTGCAATGTGTCACCAAAGTGCAGATGCACTTCGGTCACGTGGGCGGAATTGAAGAAGAATATTCCTCCATTCCGGAACACTTATGCCCCAAAGGGACCAAAGACACTCCAGAAAAACAATAGAAATCTATTGTTGGTTATGGTTACAAAATTACGAAAAATAAATAAAATTTCGAACGATACAAAACCAAAATTATTTCAAACCAAAAATCTTGTACTCCATAAAATGAAATGAAGTATACTATTTTTTTACAATTTACACCCACTAAATGTCTCGCAATCCTAGTTCCTCCCTCAGCAATCCTTCCCCTTCAAAGCCTCGCCACCACCACCAATCATCCCCCCCAACTCTGAGAAACCCACCACTTGCCAGCCCCCCAAGTTTGCCACAAATCGTCCTCCAACAAGTCGAGAATGGGTGGAACTGCTTATCGCAGAGTAAAGGAATTCTCAGCGTGTCAATCCCAGACAGGTAAATTTGGTAACAACTTTCTCATCTTCTTATCTTTTAAATGTCTGTTAAATGTTAAATGTCTGATGTAAACGAATGGCAGATAGAATTCGAAATATCTAAACTATATAAAGCAGGCGAGTGTATCGCTGCTGGCTGGGTCGGTGGCTTTTTTGAGAAGTTAGCCTCTCCTTTCCTCTCTCCACTCTGCAGAGAGAACAGGAGAGGCTAACTTCACTAATGTTGGGGTAACGGGCTTATCGACGGGCCTATTTTGCACGTCAATTGACGGGCTTCTACACTAGTTGACAAATAAATCAAACTTTTTCTTCGTTTTTCCACTAAAACTCCGTGTAACCCAATTATTAAATCCTGGACAGCTACAAGTCTCAAGTCCTCGGCCCTCAACCGTTTCCACGACTCGGAAATTTATACGAACAAAAAGACACGGCCGTAAACACGGATGATGACACAAGATGCGAAAGATCCCAAAGTTGCGACAAGGTTCAAGCACCTCGGACAGGGTCAAGGTCACAACACGACCAGCATGTTTCCCCTCAAGGAAACGGTAGACCGTCCTCCGCCCCACCGCAGCAATACCAAAACAGTTCTTCAAAACGGATGCACACCCATCTCGAACGGAGTAAAATTGATTTTCACACCGTTCCTGATAACTTTCCAGTCAGAAGATTCAGCAGCGGTTCGTTCACCACCATCCCGAAGAATGACTCGATCCAAGCTATTCATCAAAGGCAGCCAAATAGGTCGACAAATAATAATAATAATGACTCGAGAAGTTCGATGTCCTCGTCGCAATGGAGTAACGGAGGTCTGGACGATGAAGTAGGGTCCACTTCTGAGGTGGATGAAGTCCCTTCCGGCTCCCAAAGCGTTCTTATAGATAAAGGGATCAAACTTTTAAAAACGGGGCGTGACATAATGCAGCAGAATAGATCGACAACGCTGAAAACGACGTCGTTACAGGATGTCGCTAACACGCTGCATGACTTGGTCATGGGGCAGCTTCATGCGTTACAGGTATTTATTTCGAGCAAATATGTACATACGGTGGAATTATTTGTGGGTGTCACCTCATTTGCATATTTTTACGAATTTACAAGAGACATATACATCGAGTTTATTCAGTACGGAAAGCCTATAATATTATGAGCAGGTTGAGGTTTATGCAAATGAGGTGACACGCACAGTGTCCGCGAAGGCGTGGGGACAGAGGGAAAATGACCCCACGGTTATTCGATGTCCACATCATCTGCCCATCTTATGTAAACCCCGCCCAACCCCATCCTACAATGTTAATGTCCCCACAGCTTCCGCGACAACTGGACACGAACACATAATTCCACTGTACTTTCCAGTTTTAAATACCACCACAGAATTAATAAGAATAATTTCTTTAAGAAAGAAAATGAAGTGCTCAGAGTGGAAAATTCCAAATTAAAAAACAAGACCACCAGCGCGGTGACCAGTATTGTCAAAACTTCTCGAGCAACGCTACAAAGAGTGACGGCGTCTCCGGTACAGACGCTGCACCTTCCCGGAATCCCGTCCAATCTAAGTGGCAGCAGAAATCGCGTCGAAAAAAACGGCGGTAGTGGTAGCGGAGTTGATGTCCTTCATAGAATAGAAGCCCTCGAAGAATCTGTCGCCTCCTTGGTCGACCAAACGAGTCAAATTCAAGAACGTCTTTACCACCAGGAAATCAGGTATGAAGAAACGCTCGGAAAAGTTAAGGACGTTTTAGCCAATTTGACCACCTTGTATTCCAAGTTAGTTTCTCCAGGGGAGAAAATTAGTGCGCATCGTTCCAGTCAAGTGAAAATAGACACGGTTTTTACCCAACTGAACGAGACTGCCGAGCATTTAGCCACCATTACGAGTAGCAATAGTAGCAGCAATCATAGGAGAGTACAATTTAAAGGAATTCTGAAAAAATAAATTTTATGTGGATTAAAACTGATTTCAAAAAACAATTATAGTATTTTTTATTTCTTTTTTTTTTAACTTATACATACGTATATCACTGCACTCAGACTTTTGACAATTAAAACAGTACTGACGAATCGTCAGTGACGATGTTGTTGACAAGAGCTTTGAAGCTTACTTAAATGATGAAACTATTAACACACATTAAGAATTTTTAAAAGACGACATCGATGGTTCGAGTTTGAAATAGATTTTCAGGAAATCTGTGAATAACAAGATTTAAGAATAATATACACAATACAATACAAACCAAGAATATCAATGGTCGTTTCACACGGGTTGGTTCACAATCTATCTACTAAAAAGTATGGAGAACAGGTGGAGAAACATGAAGATATTTAGATTGTACATATAGTAAAGTTAAAATGTTGAATGGAATACTTTTCTATTTTTTTGTGAACATGGTTATTTTGACTTTTTCATGGCATCATCAATGGCGTGGAGTCGTTGGAGGAGGGGAGGGTGGGAATGGTGCCAGGCGGAATAGAGTGGGTCCGTAATTGGGAATGACAAATTGTCCTTGTTCAATTTCATGAGAGCGCCCTTCAAGTCGCGACCATAGCCAAGTTGCACAGAGAATTCGTCCGCTTCAAATTCGAATTTTCGGGAGAGAACGTGCATCAAGAATCCCATAGCCTATAAAATAACCTTATTGTAATTTTCAAATTTTTATGGAAATTTTATAAAACTAGAATATTTACGGCATTATAAATCTGCAGGAGAAATTGGAGAACAATAATGAGCCCGAGTAAGATTGGTTTCTCAGTTTTCTTGGGGAATCCGAAAGCTTCATAGACAGTTGAATTTTGATAGAACATGGCAAACAGGGCGAAAATGAACAATAAGTTGGCTTGTGATATGACAATGTTCTTGACAACGTGGTTCAATTTCCAGTGTCCTAGTTCATGTCTGCAATAATTACATGAAATATGTATTTAATATTAAGATTTCATAATCAAGTGTAAATAAGCAACGTACCCCAAAACTGCCTCGATCTCTTCGTCGGTGCATCCCTTTTCTTCACTTTCCGGATCAGCCTTCTTTTCAGTAGCTTTCGAGGATTCTCCGTTTTCTTCCTTGTCCTTCTTGTCATCAGTTGACTACAAGTACCAGGAAATAATTTTGTAAAACATCATTTCTACCAACTATATATGTAATAAACTGATTTAAACTAATTCGTACCTTGACATATCCCTTGATAAGTGTGTCATACAAAACTATTCTCTTGTTGTTGAAGAGTCCGTACAAGTAAGCGTTGCTGTGAGCAGATCGTTTCGACCCTTCTACCACGAAGAGTTTTGTCAATGGGAACTTAATTCTGCCAGCCAATGCCTCAATTCGAGTCCTCAGTGGTCCTTCTTGCAGTGGAGTGTATTTGTCAAACAATGGAGCAATCAACAGTGGGTAGATTGTCATTAAGAACATTAACACAATGAAGCAAAAGATCCAAAGCCAGACAAAGAAGAATTGGCCGCCGAGCTATACAAAATTATGTAATTAGCAAATTAAATTAATGAATGATAGTGTTATAATACTGATGATGATATAGGCACCTGCACAATTTTAACAATCAGTCCAACAATAGGCACGGTGATTAATGCTGAAACTAGGATCCCTTTCACAGTATCTTTACAAAAGAATCCCAGCGTCTGTTTGTTGAATCCATGCTTCTCCTATTATCGATAAATTATTAGACTCCGTTATTTAGTGACTTGAGTTTCAACACGAGTGACGAATATATCTAATTATAATATTTATACCTCAAGTACAAAAGTGGAATATAGCGACAAAGGGAGTCCTACAATGTTGTTGAACAACAAAGCAATCAAACTGAAGCTGACACTTTTTCCAATTTCCTTGTCCCATCCTACGGGCCACACGTTAAAGAAATCCAAAACCGGGCCACTGACTATCCATCCCTTATACAATCCAGAACAACTCAATAGACCCTGTAAAATAGTGAGTATTCAAAAATGACAAACACATTTGATATGCATTGATTTATTGAGTATTATTATACCGTTAAGACAAACATTGAATAGAAATCGTGAAACATGGAAAAGTTCCCTTTGTCCTGTACCAACAAATTGACATTATTTGATACTCAAATTAAATTACCACATACTTTAGGGTTTCCTTCCTTACCAGTCCGTACAGTCTCGATTTTTCAAACGTCTCCTTGTCCAGATTCAGCTCCTTCGGTACCTTCTCTTTCGATTGATGATATACTTTCCGCTGCATAAGAAAACACGTAATTTATTTATTCTAAATACTTAATACAATTACTCTTCCTTGCAGGTTTTATGTACTAACCTGTCGCAGGCAAAGATACAGTTCGAAAGCATATTCTATCCAGAGACAGGCGATGATAGACCAATAGATCTTCTCCGGCGTGAGATAAGTCTCAACCTTTTTGGTAAAAGCTGAGAAATCCATGTTCTCCAAGAGATCTCCTTACCACTAGCGGGTCCCGTGTGAATAACTCCTAGTTCTTACCTAAAGTAACATAATTAACTTGAATTACAGTCAGTTTACAATACAAAATACAATTTTCTCAAAATAAAAGCCGGAAGCAAAATACTTAAATTGAAACAAAATACAGATTTATAAATAACAACTCACCTTTACTTTTATGGTAGAATCAATCCACGACCAAGGATAAACACTTTCCGTACACAATTTAGTTAAATGTCATACTTTAATTTAATGAACAATTAACTAAATGATTTCAATTTGTGTTTTTTTTGCTTATGTTAAAAAAATGTACTTGAGAAGAGAATCTTGTCTGGCTTGGATTGGATGATGACAGACCAAACATATTTAAATTTCCCACTCTTTACATGTGGGCAAAGTGAGACTTCACAACGAGGAAGCCGGAGTCAACACGCACGGTTAATTACCAAAACTTCCAAATATTTTTCAAATAATTTTCGACAGATAACCACTAAAGCTGGAAGTATTAATATGATAAGTACTTAACAACACCATCTGTGATATTAATTTACCCTGCAATAAGTGAGTATGGTGGAGAAAGTGGTGGGGAAACGTAGATGATGTCGATTTTTAATTAAAAGCAAAGTGAAGAAAGTGCCACTCACAAAAAGGGTTAAGGGTCCAAGGAAGGGTCGAAGTATTATCTCAGTTCGGTTGTACCCTTCGTTAGCCATGGAGGTTATCAGAGAAAGTAAGCACCAACGACTATTTAATTTCAATTCGAAATCTATTACGTCAAAGTTTGAGGTTCAATTCAAACGTACAAACAAAACGTTTCGTGTAATTTTAATTTATTAATTCTGTTTCCAGATTTCGACTCTCTCTATCACGAAATCCGTGATGCAATTCAAAATTGCTCATTTATGGCGATTGACACCGAGCTAACTGGTCTTCGCGTGAACGAGGAGAGGGACAATTATTTTGACACGATGGAAGAACGCTACCAAGTTATCCGAGAAACGTCGAATAAGTATCTCATCATTCAGTTTGGACTTGGTAAGTAATGCTGCGGTTTCGAGCGTTGTTAAAATTCCGAGTCCGTATAAGGAACTTTGTTTAATTAATTATTCGGTTTCATTGTATAGTCACCTTCTTTTATGATGAAGTGAGCGACACGTTTACTCATAAAGCGTACAATTTCTACACGTAAGTTCATAAATTAAACCAACTATTCGAATAAGATTCAGATTAATTACTTAGCAAATCATGTAAATTCAGATATCCCAGCCAGACTAAGAATTTTATGCCAACTGTGCGATTCATGTGTGAAAGTTCATCGATTGAATTCTTGTCGTCATTCGGGTTCGATTTTAATAAGCTATTTCATCACGGTTAGTAATTAGAAATTAAGTAAATATTTTTACACGTGTGGAGTTTTTGTAATATGTGTATTTTTATTTTTTTAGGAATTGCATATTTATCTAGCTCGATGGTGAAGAAAGTAATTGAGGAACATGAGGAACGCGAAGCAAAGTATGAGAATGAAAAGGCTTCCATGACTGTCCCGGAAAACTTTAAGAAATTTATGGAGGATTCAAAGTACGTAATTAAATTAATTTCCTGACTAATCATTTAGATTCTACATTAACGTGACATGATAACCTATTTTATAGAGCCATCATCAAAAGGTTTCTTGCAAGTAACAAAAAGGAATACGTATTTGATACCCTGTCCCCCTTCCAAAGAAGACTAATGTTTGAAAATTTTAAACCACAATATCCTAATTTACTATTTGAAACTGTTCAAAACGACGAAGAAGAGTCTGATCCCTTCTCCGCTTCAGAAAGTGACGATGACACAAAAACCCCTGGTCGTTCTTCCTCAAAGAAAAAGGACGTTTCAAGTCCTCTACCCTCATCCGTGAAGACTGCGGATGAGTCCGCATTACCGAAAAGTATGGCAGACTTGTCACTTCCTACACAAGTCAAGCAAAAGCAGTACAAGAAACCCTTGAGAATAACTAAAGTTTCAGAGGAAGAACTCGAGTTTAGGAAAAACCAAAAGAAACAGAAATTTGAAAAAGACATTGATAGTATGATTGGGTTTTCGAAAGTTATCCATGAAATTGGGAAATCCGTAAGGAGTTCATAATTATTTAATTGTTTAGTTAGTTTAGATGTATGAACGCAAGCAATTCTTTTTACAGGGCAAAATCGTCGTCGGTCACAATATGTTGCTGGATGTTTCCCACGCCATAAATCAGTTCGTTGATGACTTGCCAGAAACTTTGGCAGAATTTAAAAATTGTGTTCAAACTGCACTACCAAACCTTGTGGATACCAAGCTGATGGCGTGTCAACTTCCTTTCCGGGAATTATTCAAGTCGTCAGTGTTAAGTGATGTAATAAAGAGATTGGAAACTGAACCATTTACTTTTGAAGGTTAATTGACATTACTATTTTTCTTGGCAGTGGAAGATGATTGATTTTAATTGAATTCTGTATTACACTCAGACTCCAAACTTCATCCTGGAATTGAATCAAAAGGATATGAATTTGGACAATCCAAATTTCATGAAGCAGGATATGACGCATACATCACGGGACTCTGTTTTATAAGTATGTGCAAATACTTGGGGACGTTACAAAGTCCAAAGAAAACTCGTGTCCTTCCAGAAAGCCCACTAGTAATGCCGTACATCAACAAGTGAGCTAATTTTTCGTTTTTTTGTGCACGTCACCCTGGACTTTTTCACGCGTTAAGTCAATTGCATACTTTGCGCGATGTAATTCCAGGAAAAATAACTGGTTTTCATTCAGTGTTATATTCGCATTAATCGAATTTCAATACGACGAAAATCTACACTTATATGTTTTAACCAAAATTTTAAAGCTAGGAAAATTTCCTTTGGAAAAATGAAGTTTAGCATTCATAATTGCTTTGACAAATTTGTTGAAACGGCGATGTTTTGAAATATCGATATGCATTTTTATTTATTTATTTTTGCAGACTTTACCTCATGAGAATGATGGACGTTTGCTACATGAACATTTCGGGGATTGATTGTAAGTGGATTTGCTTATCATTATATTTGCAACCTAGAGTGATTTCAATTGGATTTATACTTTTTTAGTGACACCATCCCGATCTCATGTATTCTACGTCCAATGTCCTAAAAATACTTCCATAGACTTGATCCGATCTTGGTTCAGTCCGTTTGGTGAGTTGTGTAACTTTTTAAGGCATATAATTCATATTGTTGGCTGACTAGTGTTAACATACATATTGTGATTTGCAGGTCAAATTCAATATCACTGGCAAAGAGATGATATATTCGTATCATTGATGGACAAAGACCAAGCACCTTTAGTGATGAGGAATTTGGAGCACCGTGATGGATATTTTATAACACCATTTGAAGAATATACCAAAATGAGAGAAGAAAAGTTGAAACTTTCCCAAGTAAAAAATCAGCAATCTTCAACAAATTCTACTCATATTGACCCTTCGCCACCGTCGTCTGCTCCTGCGCAGACAAAAAGGCCCAAGACTGAGTAAGTATTTTAAAATCACGAATCAAAATAATATGATATGATAATCTGACCCTAATTGGATTGGAAATTAATCAGAAGTACCGAAGTAAAGCGGAAACCCGCAACGAAGGCTACTCAATTGTTCGAACAACCCGCATGGGATTAAGATTAAAAAACAAACCAGTGATTATGATGATTATTGTTATGATTGTCGCGTGAATATATTTTAACCTGAATAGTTCAGCTTTAAATATGATGCTAATTTTGTTACCAGTTGAACTTTCAACAATATATAACTATTTAAGCTAAGTTAGCTTTTATGTACAACAGCTACTTTTACACTTTCTGATTGTCCTAAAAGCCATAAAAATTCTGATTATGAACATCAGTTATTGCGCTGGGAATAAAAGCCAACTTCTTTTATTTCGGTTTTCAACAAATCTTATAAAATACCAATTTATTCTTATCCTTCATTCTTATTAATATCGTCACAACTCCAGAAATTATGCGCCTTATCGATAACATTTTGTCCCGTAGTCAAATACAGCGACCCATTTGGTAAATACTCTCTTGTAAATTCTCGATAAGCCATGCAAATCCGTCTATCCTGAATATCACTTCGCAAAATTGAATGTTCCCATTCGTACCGAGACGGTCCAGAAAGGACGAGGAGAGAACGAGCTGGCATGGGAAGCCGTACAATTGGATAGGAATTAGAAGTAGTGTTACTATTCTCGGTATTAAACGGATTATACGTATAATTATTATCATAATGATACTTTAAATTATATTTTGTGATTCCACCAACATATTTCGTCATTGTGAGGACAGAATCTGAGATTAAACTAATAGAAATGACTCGCTCGCCCCACACCCAACAGTCATCGATGTGAGGGTCGATACAGGCTCCGGTCTCTGGACGATATTCAATAGCACATTGTTCAATTGTCTGAAAGTCAGATAAGGCTGGAACTTGGTTTAATTTTTTCTGCGCAAATTCACTAAACTTTGGAAATCCGGTGAAACTGTTGCCATTAATTTTCATCTTTTTGAAGTTGGTCTTGGGTCCAAAATTCTGCAAGTCGAATTAACACTCTGCTAAATAATGTCTGAATATTTATGTTATGATTGATAAGTTTATAATTACGCTTACCTGCTTCCTTCGACCACTCTGCGATAAATCCCACTGCATCGAGTCACACCCTTGAATCATTTCTATCTCTTCGTCACATGTCAAAAAGTCAGGCTAATTAAATAATTCACAACTTTAGTAATAGTTCCATAAAATCAAGATATACATTTAAGGTGTTAACTTTTAACTCTTACAATTAAAATAACTCCACGATAATCGATCGGATTTCCACCATGATGGGGATGATCTCTCAATACGTTTACGCCCAGCCAGGCCTTTGAGTCGCACAAGTGACAATATTCGTAACAAGTCTGTTAATCGATGTACACAAAAGTTAATTATAATTATACAGTTAAAATTTTATTTTCTATTAAAAATTAAAATACCTCAAGATCCAATTTCGTCAGTGCAAAGTTATTCGGTTTCTGTTCCCCTGTCGAAATTCCGAATTCGGATTCACAAATTAGACAGGTTCGGATTCCCTTACATCCGCAGGGACGTACTTGGAACATTTTACTTTTTTCTAATTAAATGTTTCCAGTTAAAAATTTTAAATTAAAGAAAAATGATTTGTTGAAATTCTCAAATTCTACGTGTTTAAGTTGAATGAGAAATGCCGGCAAGCTGGTCAAACTCCGCCAGCAAGCACGTTGTTCGTTCGTTCATTCATTCACTTCGCTCGTTCGGAAGAACATCCCACCAAAATCAGCTCCCAGGATTCTTCTATTTAAATTTAATTTGCAATTAAATTAACTACAAGTACTGGATAAGGACGGCGGCGGTTTGACAGGTACGAAGTGGTTTTGATATTTAATGGGTTCGTAAACTTCATAAAGCAAAAAGGGGTGGGTGGACTGGATGGTCAGGGCCCAATGATGTCGTGGTGGGTGTCCAAAAACTAAAAAAAAATGCGAAGTTTACGAACGTGCCCTTATCATTAGTCATATCTTGAATAGTTCGGATGGAGGGACGGCCAAGGACCGGTGGGGGCAAAGAATTTATAGTATCGATTTGATTAATTTTGCTGGTAATTCTATATCGCAATTCGCAAGTCAAAATACAGACATAATTAAATTTAAGCGCAGTTATTTTATGAACAAATCACGAAATTCTGAGCATTGTAGTAGTCTAAAACTATCTTAAAAGATTCCCCAAAATTGGTTAACTGGGGTTCAAATTAAAATAAATGGTTAAATTAATTGTTTTTTTTTGTTTCCCATTCTGTAGGACAATCTTGTTCAAAATGCCTCACATCTGGGAGAGGCTCCACGCCAAGAAGTATTTGGACGTTGACGTTGTAACGGATTCCACCAAGGCGTGCAGACAGAGCTTGTTCTATGGTGAGTGAGTGGTCTTGCCTAACAAAATTTTAATTGGCCATTCATGTTTAATTAATGAAATCATTATCGTTAAATTCAGGTGAACCAACGGAAGACAAGAAGACAGCCAAAACGGCCTCACTAATCCAGATTGCAAAATCCTGTAGCAAGGAAGAGAAGGCCTTCATCCATTTGCAGTTGTTTTGGCATCTCCGATACCGGAGTGAAATAGAGCCAGTCCTTGAAAATCCGGGCAACTTTGCGTACATCGCACCAACCTATGTCACTGAAGCGTTCGTTCCAAACGACACTTATTGTACCGTCGTCATCGATGGAGAGCTCATGTATCATTTCCTGCAAATGGTCCTTCACTTGTTTGACCTGAAATTTGTTCAAGATCTGACTGCAATGGTGGTGGAAAAATTTATGCCAAATGAAGACCAGCACGGCGTTTACCCATTCGTTGTCTTCTTTCTGGGAAAAATCTGTCGTCGTGAATTGGATAGGGAGGAAGCGGAAGGAGGCGACTTTTACTTGAAACAATTCATCACCGTTTTGGACGGATTTGTGGGCCACGGCTTGATATCCAAATATGAAAAGTTATGCTACTTATTCCGAGTGGCTGGGGTGGTCGTTATGAAAAAGGAAGATTACTTGGCTAATGGAACTGATTTTTTGGAATTACTGGAAGAATGGAATTTCGACTTGAGTAACAGGATCGCACAAGAGACACGGGTCTATCTTACAGAATTTTTCGAGGATAAGCCAGCCTCAGAAGGAGTACGAGTCGAAATCTTGACAGCAATCGAGAAAGCCATTGTGAAGTTGGACGTGTCAGAAGACGAGATCAAAGAATGGGAATCTATTCCCAAGACACATCGAATTACTTGGTCCGAATTCATCGGAGTACATGCCTTTCTCGCAAAATCTGTTTTTGAAAAATACTCTTCAACTTTTGACATATCCTTAATCGAAAATCTGGTCAATTTAGTCTCCACATGGTCTTTAAAGCGCCCAAAGTTGACCCGTGATGATTATCTTGGAGAGATTGGAAATTTTGATCAATTTTATACAGTATTGAAGCGATTTGGAGAAAAGGATCGTGATCGGAAAAACTTACTTGCCAAGTTTATAGAATTTTCATACAAGGACGTGTACTGTGGTCAAACTGGATTACGGATTGCTGAGAAATATCTCGTCCCAGGTGGCGACTATGACACCGTGTCCACCTACATTTTGAACGCGTTGGACAAAGAGAAAATGCCAGAGAGTTGTGTAGGGCTTGTACCTTCCACGGTGAAACTTCTGATTCAAAAGTTGCTGTGCGCAAATGCAGAGATGAAAGCGAGAAAGGATGAACTTGTCCCAAGATTGTTCAAAGACGGTGCCAATGCAGCCTTGATTCTGTCAGATTACACTTATCATGTCAATAATCTGTGCTCTAAACTCGGGACCATTGAGCGAGAAGTACGAGATGCAGCTCAAATAGCACATGTAAGCACGATACAATATTAAATTAGACCAATTTCATCACTAAATCCAATCTAACATATTAATTACTTAATTATTCACAGAATCGAGACCTTGTCTTCAGTACCTGTTTGGAGGACCCAGTGAACACAGTAATCTCAATGATGGAGCACGCCTTTACATCCCAGCATTTCAAAGTGTTGATCTTTGCCAAACCATTTTTGCTCCTGCCAAGCAGCCATCCATCCAAAAACCCACCCAGCGTGCGAAACTTCTGCTTCAATAAGATTGTGGTCAACGCCGGTGGACACGACCCCATTCTGATCTCTTTGGTTGAATGCGTTTCTAAACTAATCTCAAACGATATCATGGATGCGAATGATGTTTACGAGATTATCAAACAGCAAGTCCGTACTCTGCTCCAGGGCATGATGCATCTGCCCAAAATTGGGAAACTTTTCCAAATTATCAACTCCATTGCTATCGCCTTGATCGAATTGAACAAGGAGGACCAGTACGTTCCTAATATTAAGGAAATTCTGAGGTTGGTCTTGAACACGAAGATGCTGACTTATCACGTCATGCCTCCCTGCGCTGCAAAGGAAATGCTGAACATTCGCACCATTTGTTCGTCCACGGCGGAAAGTATCATTGCCTCCAAATTAGCGGGACCAGATCCATTCGACAAACTTTCTCAAGATGCTACTACTAAGGATCCCGGCTATATTCTTAACCGTAATTTGTTACAAATCGGATATCTGTACGTGCGAGTGCCTCAATTACAAGATCATATTACCTCAAGCTTTCTTGGACAGAATCCTGCCATTAATCCTCTTCAGCTCAAGCCGGAACTTGAATTTGCCAACATACAAAATTCATTGTACACTTGGGTTGCTGATTCAGCCGTTGAAGAATGGCCCACCCTCCTTCAATTTTTAATTGAAGTTCTTCCAAAGTCTCCAATCTTTGAGCATGACATCGTCAACGTTTTCAACCGCTCGATCCCCTTCGTTTGGCGAAATTGCACGGAAGTCAAGAATCAACACATGTTTCGTCAATATTTGAAATTCTATAACAAAGCCGTCCAGCAGATTTTGCTCCAAAAAGGAGACTTGGCACCCACACGAGAAAAGCAACTCGACATTGTCGCCACTTTCGTCCTAGTGGTCGACTTGATGTTTCAAAATTGCCGGAAGCGCAAAACTCAACAAGAGAAACTGGCCGTGAGCACTTCCATCCAACAAGTAATGCTTGTCACCCTTGAAGTTCTAAATGTTATGATGGGAATGAACCCGACTTTTGAGAAGGACATGAAGCCCAACGTTTTGGACCGCCTTTCCTTACTCCCATTTGTGAAGGGGGCATGTGAACCGATTCGGAAATGCATGATGGAACGTGTCTGCAATTATAAGGATGCTAAAACCACGGCGAAAAAGGACCCTGCTGCTGGAGATCAATAAAGTAATACATGAAGTAAAATGTTGACAACTCAGATACCACATCTGATCAACCACAAGACTGGACCGGACTACTATTTGATTCAACAAATAGTATTAATTAAATTAATGATTTTTCTTACCGTAATGAGTATTACACTATAGTCTGTCCACGGCAAGTTGAACCCAGAGATATGGAAGACTAAATCCCGGCCCATGCTTATTAACGTTGAACTGAGTTTAGTCTCCCATATCTCCGGGTTCAACTTGCCGTGGACAGATAGTAGTTATAAACTATTTCTATACATAAAGTGAACGAGTTATGTACTGTGCGGGTGGAACTTAAACCTACGGCCTCCTGAAGTACCTTGTGCTGAGACTAGGGTTTCTCGTGAGTTTAGCTCCATTCGCACAGCACATAACTAACTCACTTCAAGTATAGTTCAATCAAAAGACTGGTGCTAGCTAATGACTAAATATTTTTCACTACTGTTTTTTTTCTACTTCTACATATGAAATTTATGTATGAATTCCATTACAAAAATGACTAGTAATTTAATAAATGTTGTTATTCAAAGATGTTTTTTTCATTCTCAATTATGTGAGCGGTTTTATTACTATTATTTATTTTATTCGGTAGAAGATGCATGACTGATGCTGCTACACGAGGCATTACATAATATTAATTTCATCTCAATCTACGTACAAGTATCACAAGTTTCATGTATTTTTTTTCGGTGACAAAAAGATGTCAATATTTTAAAACAACGCAACATTCTATTCTATTATTGATTCTCATGTCTGCATATCAGCTTTATTACTTATCGACTCTTCTGCTAGTAATAATTTAGAGTAAGTTTATCTGACGACGGACTATTTTTATTATTGCATATGTCCTTACGAGGAGCTAAACTCTTCTTGATATTTAATTTTGTATACTGTTACATTTTTATTATTCAGGTTAGATATGTATGTGTTTCTTTTTCAGAAAAAACGTAATTTTAAAAAAGAAACACGAACTAATTAAAAAGCAAGAAAAAATATTATGACTAAATCGTTATTGGCTTTCCTACCTACTTTTCTACCACATTTAAAGATTATTATGGTTAACATCACTGTTTTTTCGTAAACTGTTAACTAATTCGTTATAAATACCCATTCAATTTAGGATTGGAATTTTTAAATGAAAGATTCAAGTTGACGAGTTTCTTGACCTGCTGTGTGTACGCACCAAAGTTATAATATACTCGAGATGGGTGGATCAATTCTTTTTAAAAAATGTCAGAATTGTACATATGTCAACAAATCTACTGTAACGTGCATGTTAATCCGGTTATCTTGATTTATGTAAGGGCGACGCTTAATTGAGGTAGGGTAGTTAATTTGTGGATATTATTCAATGTCTCTATTGGTCAGCCTCAATCGTATTATTAAATGGCAGATAGTTCTGGGAAGATTTGTGACATTTTTGTGCTTATTAATCCCATTCATCATCCTCCGCTTCTTCTTCCTCTTCCGAACTCGAATCTGGATTTATGGCTTTCGATCGCTCAGCAAGTGCACGAGCCAGGGCACCAGCAAGTCCATCCATCGTATCCGTTGTTTGGGGTTCTTTCTGCGTCTGTTGAACCTGATTTACAACAAATAACGTCTTCTTTAGTATTGATTAATGCAGTTACACCATTTTGTCAAGTAAGAACTAGTTAAGAACTTACAGGTTTTAAGGCAACACCAGTTTGAATTTGGTTAAGACAATCGGCTAATCCTCCAGCGCTACGTTTAGGAGGTGTATCCGAAGGATCCACTTTCTGTAGGTGCGAAAAAATTAAGTCATTTGATTAAACTTATGTAATTATAGATTCATGAAAGTTTTATCACACCTTCAAGTTAACTCCCTTTTGAATTTGTGCCAAAAGATTGGATCTATCATCCATGACCGGTGGAGATGACTTTGGTGCGTTATTATGAGCACCGTTACTGTTTGACTGAGAAGGTGGTGCATTTGGCATTCCCATCGGAGGAGGTGGAGGGGGTGGTGGCATTCCGGCGACCGGCATGGGAGGAGGAGGTGGTGGGGGTGGAGGAATTGGACCGTTAGAGTGACTCGGCTGTTTAGGATTACTATTAGCAAAGGTCGGTGGGGGTGGCCGTGCCGGACCGCTGTTTTGTAAGTTGGGACTGCTAACTTGATGCGACGGTGACTTTTCGACAACGTTTGACGATGATGTTCTCATAGGTGGGGGTGGTGGAGGAACTCCTTGATTGTATCCGGGCACTGGTGGTACTGGTCGAGATGGGGGAGGTGGGGGCGCTGCTGGCTTCAGTGCTTGAACCTGAGGAGATACGTGGAAAATGTTTAAACTGTAAAAATTGTCACAAGAAAATAATTTTCAAAAAATAATAAGTTTACCGTTCGGTTAGGAACTGGCGGAGGTGGGGGGTTGGGATTGCTAATGATGGCTGGTGGAGGAAAAGGAGCTGCTGGGCGTGACGTATTGCGAATCTGCTCCAAACCACCATTCTGTTCGATGAAACTATAAAATAAATATGCGTCATTAGTAAATTTTGTAAATCGTCATATTTAAAAAGACTATATTCGTACTTGTAAATAAATTGTCGAGTATTTTCGTCTTGAAGAACATCTGAAGAAACACCAGCTTTCTCGAAAAAGACGCGAAGATCGCTGTCAACCCCATTCAGATCGAATCCTTTGTTGGGATCTATTAATTAATTGATTAATTAACTTGTACAATTAGTGTTTTATTTATGACATAATAAATCGTCTAATTTGAATTAAGACCTACCCCAGCCAACATGTTGAACATGACGAAAGTCCATCGGTTGGCCAATGTCTTCCTTTCTAAGGGTCGGTTTCTTATTCTTGTCTTTCTTATTGTTTGTCTTCGCTTTATTAGAGTTTGGCTTTGTGGGAAAATTGTAAGTTGTGCTAACAGTTGATACCCCGTTGGTCATTGAAGGAACCTGTTTCTGCGGATGAGGTTGTGGTTGATTATTATGCGATTGACTTTGTGGATAAGGTGGACCATGATTGTCAGGGATTAGTCTTGATCGACGGTGTTCACGTTCTGTAAATCATAAATAAGTATTAAACGTCATATATGCAAAGTAAATCGCGATAAGATATATATTATTGATTGATTACCGTTGCGTCGTTGTCGTTTGGCTTCCAATTTGCTGTCCAACCCCTCTCGAAATAGACCAGCTTCGGTAGGATCGGCAAATAAAATTCCGACTGTGGAACTCTGAAAGGGTATTTATAAAAATAAATAACTTGATTCGACTCGTCACTAAATACTTGATTATTTCAAATTATTTGTAGCTTACGTCTCCTTCAAATGTAAGAAAACAGTGATTTGGCAGATTGTATTCAAACTGATTGTAAATCTCTTGACGAAACACCATGCTCCTTGTCCCGAGAGAGAATACTTGGATAAAATACGATTTTTTAGTCGTGTCTCGAACCAGACACGCAACTCCAGTCTCTGTAAATTAAAGACCAAAGATTTTAAATTAACATGTGGTCTTTTTGTGATTCTTTCATTCGGTAATTCCTACCTTTAATTTGCCATCTCGATTGGTCCGGCGTTGGCACTAATAATTGGGCAACTGCGGATGCTAAAGTCTATAAATAAAGATCAATCAGTTTCAAATTATACTTCAACTTTTGTAACAATATAAATTACAATGTTTTTACTACCTGACGCCCTTTCCCCAATATATCAAAAATCACTTGATTCTCCTCCCTCGACAATAGCAAACTCGTCTTATTATCCGGCGGGGGTCGTCTCGGGGTGGGAGGATTTTCCGGAATTGCTGGCGGATGTTGTGACGAGTAGCTATTGTTATTATACGACGACGACATGTCGTACGCCGGTGGGATGTCAACGTCAACGTCCGCCTCGAAACTATCGTCCCTTGATATCGACGACCCGTATCCCGGCGACCTCGTCGTCCCTGGCGATGACGCCGACGGACTTCTATAAAATTCGGAATTCATTACTTGACTTTGACCTCCTCCTCCTCTACTGTAAATTTGCTGCTGCTGTTGCTGATGAGTTGATGGATGTCGTCGCATACTCTGAAATCTGTTCATCACCAAACCGTCGACAACTTCTACTCTGCCCCCACCACCACCACCCCCACTACGACTACCCCTAAATGAGCTTGTAACCCAGCCCATCCCATCACTTCGACCTACAGTGTTATACAAAAATCCACCAGCAGGATGACCTCCACCACCACCGCCATGACCTGGCGACACTGAACCATTATTCATTGCTACCGGACTACGAAAATTCCTGCTCGGCAAAGTCGTGGCGTAAGCTGGCTGTTGGTGCGGCTGCGGCATGGTGGAAAAGCCGATATTTTTTTGGGGGGTACCTCTCTTTCCTCCTCCCCCTGGAGGAGGATAGTTCGGACTGCCGTACGAAGTGTAATGGCCTGACATGATTGTTATTTACTAACTACTGTTTTTAATTTAATGTTTATTAGTTTAACTGTGGTGGTAAATATTTCTTGTTGGTTGCCGTCTGACTCTGGCAGGCTACAAACTAAAAATCTCAACTTTTTCCAGCACTTTCTCCACTCCACAACCAATCTTGCACTTTATCTTCTGTTTCACAAAAATGTCCACTCGCTCAAAAATTACGAATCGACGTTACACGCACACATTCTTGTTCAATGACAAATCTGATAACTACTTTTGATATGCGTAACTTATCCTACGCCTGTGATTATCCATGTTACGTACTAAATTCCAAGTAAAGCAAAAGTTTGCACACACAGTGACACCTTACCGTAACTGAATCGTGGTGGCGATGTAACTCATATTTTGCTTCCTATCTTTTCTTGATGTTGAAATGATGATGGCTGGCTTGGAATAATGCAGATAAGGATATTCGATAATGCAAAACAGATAAGGTCAAATCAAATCAGAGGAAATGAGAGAATATGCTGGGTGGACCCAGACCAGACCACAGCCGAGTACTGCTGAATAACAAGCGATGATGTGCAAAGTATAAAAATCTGCATTTGTGTGTAACAGAATGATGTTCTGAACCATGGAATTTTAGATCTGAACCTTGTGTGACGAATGCAATGCAAATTTTTCGGGATGATTCGTTCACAGACCAAACAAATAAACAGATCTTTTGCCAAACGAGATCCAACCAAATTAACATTTCGTACCTAAATACGTTGTTGCATTGAATCTATTTTTTCTTGTAAATGAAACCGACGAATTTTATACCCAGATCAAAAAGAGTAAATAAACAAACCTTCTCTAATTTTCGTCAATCCGGTGTAATTTGTGTGCGTAAAAGTGTGAAATTATCCAGTCCTCCTCCAGTCGATAGATAGTCCGCCTCGATAGATTTCGATTGGTATCCGTCAGCATTAAATAATTTGGCTATCTGCACGGTTCACATTTAGCTTTTGGATTCATTGCTCATCCGTCCAAATCCAAAACCACTTGAGAACAATAACAGTTTTGGGGGTTTTAATTGTAAACAAACACACTACGATTTAAATAGGCACTTGATTTTTTTCCATTACTTCAGCTTTAATGCTTTCTTTCCGATCGTGAACTTGATGGAAAATATTTGTTTAATGAAACGGCGTGAAAAGCAGTCCAAGCTTTTGTTTATCCAGCGTTTGTTATTAATGTTCCCATCATTTTTCGATTCTGCAAATCACAAAATAATAGAATTTCATTAAATATGCATTCCGCAAAACAAATCTATACCAAAATTCTTTCTCCATATTTCAAGTTTTCGTAACCATAAATAAAATCGTACTGCAAATTTTACTCAAATCGCCGGATATTTACCAATTTCGCAAAACAAGTATCTAAATCTACACCAAAATTCTATCCAACTAAATTTTTGCAATCCTAGACGTGGATAAAATAGCACTGCAAATTTTACTCAAATCGCAACATATTTGTCCTCCTAGCCATTAAAAATGTCCCAAATTTCCCATAAAAATTATGACAAGTGAAAAATTCCAGTCTTTAGTTTAGCTCACTCGTGTACATACTTTCCTATCTCAAATTTAATATTGACTCATCATATTTATACCACTTTAACCTTAACTACACTTCCACCCACCCACAAAACTTTACTGACATCACTATGTACTGTCCTGATATTACACATTATTTACTTGCACAACAAATAATTGTCCTCACTCAGAATGTAATATGTAATGTAATGTAATACACAAAATAATCATCAAATAGAGCACGTCAACGTGAAAAAGTCTAGTCAAGTGCGACATCCTCCCTTCTCCAATTCGCCCAACCCACGCATCTAATTGCTTACAAATTCGTCCCAGATTCTATGTAACCTCTGAGAACAAACTAATTGAATTAAGCGACAAGACTATACGACATCAATCAATATAAAAAATGCGTCACTATAAAAAAATTACCAGTTTTGTTACAAAAAAATTCCACTAATTCAATTCTATCTCGAATTAATTTTCTGACTTAAAATTCTGCAAGAATCGCAGCTTATACACTTTCTCCATGATCAAAGTTCGTGCCCTTTAATTTAATTTAATCCTGCTTTCACTTCTAATCGGGAAAATTGCGCTCGAAGAAATTGTACCCTTTTTATTTTACTATGCATGCAGTTATCCACTTACTTTTGCCGTATCGTAATTAATTTACGCTTATCTGCTTCTTTTATCGAGGCAAAAATTTGTACAGTAATTGAATGAATGAATGAACGAACGAGACAGTATTGTCTAAAAAGGCTGCTGCAACTTACTTACTGTGCGCTTGGCAGGGGATGAGTCGTACTTCGGGTGAATGCAAATGTGTTAATTTTGTCTTATTAAAGACGGTGTATGCATGAAGATTAGTAGGAATGCAAGGCGGTGTGTGTGTATAAATGCTGAATTTGACCTCACGGGTTGAGCTACAGAAAAGAGCTGACAAAACTTTTTTACCAAGAAGACGAACGAAGACAGGCCGTGTTATTAGATGAGAAGAACAACTTGACAGAGTTGAAATAGTGGTTTTACTATGGGGTACAGTACAGTACAGTAAAATGTGGTTAGTTTACAGTGTGGGAAGAAGGAGCGTGCAGACGCTGGGGGCAGTTTTTTAGGACGAGAGTGAAGATTTAACCCTTTTCTTTAAGAGTGATCTGGCAACGGGGAAGAGGAGCTGGGTTGGAGGAAAAGGTGAAGTTTTTAGTGGAATTTTCAGATAGCTAGTTAGATTTGATGGAAAGTTTAGTGTAAATTTTTAGTATTATTGGAAAATGAGTGAAATTTTGGAAATTTGAGTAGTATCAAAATTTGTTATTAGAGGGATGCGATGCGATCCAACTTAAATAAGAATTCTTTAACAATAAAAATAAAGAAAATTAATTAATGAAATTGCACTTTAATTTTATTTATTAATTTCTTTATTATATACACTGCATAGATCAAAGGGCATTTGCATATCTAATATAATAATTTTCTCAATAAAAAACATATCCGAAAAATACAATCGGCGTTAAACTGTAGCAAAAAATTTTTCATGGAGAAAGCATCTACTTTCTCCATAAACAATCGTATCCTAATATACGTCAAACTTACCAATATTGCATTTTAACCCTTTATTTATGCTGAAACATGTAAAAATTTACCTTCTTTCTGCACAATTCATAACAAAGCCTCGTATACACATCATTTTCATACGACTTTACTACCAGATTCACCTTTTCTTCCCCAACCAACCCAGCGTTGTCACTTCCTCCCCTGTTAAAACATCCCTATTGGTTATCCCCTCGTAAAAAGTTGTTCTTCCCGTCTCCCAGTTGTCGTTGCCTGTTCCTCTCTTGTAGCAAAATGCCGGTATAAAAACCTTACTTTTCCATTACACCATAGCATAAACAAACAACTACATTCTACCTTCCCCAAATTTGATATGTAATACCCGCAAAAATTTTGCACAAAAATATGAAAATACCACCTTTTCCACCACCACATCAACATGACTTTCTCCACTTTCTCCGTCCATTTTCTCCTCTAAAATAATTCATCTCAATCTTAAAACGCGACCCATTATTTTACATCAAGCAGTATACCAACTCAAACCAAGAGTTAGATAGATACACTCCGCACCAAAGAATTACACCCGGCACCGATTTCAATCCGGAGCTACCCGATTCCGGGATACTTTTCCAATCCCCACACACATTTCGAACCCACCAACCAACCATGTGTACCCCTCTCTCACTCTCTCCTTTTTCCAGAATATAAACACGCGTTCGGTTAGATCTGCTCAGAGTGTAAGTTTGCTTAGGGGAAGTTGGTCGCCTCTGGAGCCAAGATTTTTATTCACATTTGACAAAGCGGCAGCAACTCAAGTTTATACACCTCGTATCGTACGTATCGTACACAAACCAAATCTACAAAAACATCATCTCTCTCTTCTACCAGAGTCAGATAGGTCTCATCACACTCCAAGAGAGCATCATCTCTCTCACGAGAAGAAGAACCATGAAATTGGTATAGTTTACAGAGTCAAATCCAGTTTTAGAGGCAAATTATATTACACACGGCCTTGTGCAATATTTACACATTGACTCACATCACGATACACAGAAGCAGCAAGGGAGAAATATATGTGTGATTGAAAGATCACGAATTGGACAAAAGTGCAGTGTTGCAGCTGCATCGGGAAAAGTGCATCGGTCTTAAACTTGGAAAGTTTTTGGGCCCGCTTAGAAAAAGAGGAATCAAAAGTTAGTTTAATAATTTAGTGTGAAAATATTGAAAATTTTGATTTTTGTCAAGGGAAGACGACAAGAGTGAAAATTGTGAAAAGTTTGTATTCAATAATTAATAATTTGAGTGTATGTAAGTACTTATTGGATTTTAATTCTAAACGGAAATATAAAAGGTAAATGGAAATTTATTTACATTTCTGATTATAAGTTAGAATTTAATTGCATACACGATTATTGTACATTTTTGGATTATTTATTTAAGCCGGCATTTTATTTTACGAATTTTGGATTTTAATTCTAAGAAACGGTAAATGGAAATTTATTTATTTACATTTCTGACCATAAGAATTTGTGATACACGATTATTAAAAATTTATTTTCTTTATTATTAAACCGGCGTTTTATTTTCCAAATTGTTAAAAAATTCATTCCCCAAATTTTTTTTCGCTTTCTTATTAAAATTAACTAATCTCCAGTCAAGATAAATAGTTCGAAATCATGACCATCCTTATCTTCCCGACAAACCAACTAACTTATCATCCCACAAAGTAAAACATTTTTGTTGCTCAAAGCCAGATAAATTATTGCCGTGCGTACTTTGTACTTTGTACACATCGATAAATAACGAAACGGGCCGTCCGTCAGTTAAAAGAGAAACAGGTCATTGCTCATTTTTTTTCTTCTTTGAACAGTGTCACCAAACCAACTTTGTGTGTATGTCGTAGGCACGCGAGGAAATGAAATTCCTGTACATTCTTTCTTTCTTCAAGAGTGGTTCAGTTCATCATGCATTTTTTAGCAGACAGTTTTATCCAAGGATAAAAGTTAATTGAGCTTTACATCAATTAATTGTGGGAGACGATTACTACCGCACTGTTAAAAATCGGGTAGAGTCAGATATACGGGTATTGATTTGGTAATAACTTGGTACCTGAGTGGTAAATTTTTCATTTGCACAAACGGTAATGCCCTTTATTACCGTGCCGGTAAGAGCGATATATATGTATTTACTCTGGTTCAGTAATAATTTAATACCCGTTTTCTAAAAGTGCAGTCACATATATATTCCGGACTGGTATTGATTTGGTAATAACTTCCTATACATGATTGGTAGTAGTTTGTTCCTGAGTGGTAAATTTTTCATTAGGACGACATTACTAGACGGTAATGCCCCTTATTACCAGTACCGGTAGAGTCATATGTACTCCGGTCAGTAACGATTTAATACCAGTTTTTTTTCTAAGAGTGCACGAATTTTCTCTCTGCGTGCAAGCAAACCTAAACGAACCCCGAATAATTAAGCATTTCAGCTACATTTATGGAATGCAATGCAAAATAGTCGTGCCAAAATCACTTAATAATTAGTATGGATTTCTCCCATATTTGCAAAAATCCATTCCATTACATCACATAATAATAGCGGTTTTCTCTCTGTATAAGTATGTATTTATATTATAGTAAAATCATCGCTCTTTTGGTTTCTGGTAGTATTCTGTCGAGTAAAGAAAAAAATAAAATACATAACGAAAACCAGGACACCGAGTTTTCGGTTCTAGTTCTGACTGACTTTTCTCTCGGTTGACATTTCGCCTGGGTGAATTGTTTGGACGGGAAAATCAATGGTGGTTCGTTAGCTCTGGCTGCTTTTCTCTTGTTGGTTTGTATTCCCCTTAGATTTTCCTCCATTCCAATATTATTATACAGAATCCACTTTAACTCACCTTATGTGTAACATACATACATTAGTGTGTGCCAGTGGCCGCGGAAGCCGTAGGGACATCGGGGACATTAGCATTTTAGGAGGGGTTTATATAAGATGGGGAGATGATGGGGACATCGAATACCCGTGGGGACATTGTCCCTAAATTTCCGCGGCCACTGCATCATATTCATAAATTTGAGTAGCCTGTATCCTCCCAGTGGCCGCGGAAGCCGTGGGGACATTAACATTGTAGGATATAGGGGTAAGGGGTTTATATAACATGGGGAGATGATGGGGACATCGAACACCCGTGGGGACATTGCCCCCTTTTGTCCCCACACTTCCTCGGCCACTGGTCGGTAACTGAGTGCCTTACAAAATCTACTCGTACAATAACAAGAGTGGAAACTATATCACATTTTTCTTTTTTTTTTACTATTTAACCTTTGAATTTTTTACGACCTGACGAAACCGAGTAGTAGAGAATTGAAATTTTAATGAGCATTCATTCCCCCGATATAAATCATTTCTTTTTCCATTCAGTTAAGTTATCAAACTTTAATTTCACCCGTGTAATGAAGAGATTTTTGGTAGCAAGCCAATAAATATGGTGGGAAGGAAATGTTAACAAGTTTTTTTTACCGAAAAAAATCACTTAATTCATCCCGCAAAACATGATGATGATGACACCTTTGATGATATCTCAAAGTTAATAAATCTTCCGCAAAACTGGAGTAGGCACACTTCCAGTATGTTCTTATCTGTCGATAGGATCTACTACTTACAGATCAGGTTTTTTTCATAAAAAAGCTGCTTACTTGTACATAAGTAGTCATTAAATCGTGAAACAAAACAATCCTGCTTATGCTGCATCATCTTGTTAAAAAGTATTATTTAGTTTTAATTTTTCCCTGTTATGAATAATTGCTTTTAGTCGGGTGGGTAAAATTAGGCAGTCGTGTAAATGCATATTAATGAAGTGTGTAACAGCAGCACGCGTCTCTTAATTCTTAAGAAGAAGCAGAGGCAAGGCAACAGCTGGTAAAGGAGGCACTTTTCTTTATATAAAGTTGAGAGCGAGACGCTTAATTGATATGATTACGAGCTGTATACAAGTGGAGGCTTTCACTTATCTTGCATTGCTCGCGGGAGCAGGGGGGACATTAATATTGTAGGAAAAATGCAGTTTTAGGACGTTAAAAAAGGGAGTTTTTAACTCGTGTATCCACTACCAGTGACCGCGGAGGTCATGGGAACATCTGGGGACATTAACATCGTAGGAAAAATACACTTTTAAAACTGGAGTTTTTATCTCGTGTATCTGGGCCGCGGAAGCCGTGGGGACATTAACATTGTAGGATAGGGGAGGGAAGGGTTTATATAAGATGGGGAGATGATGCGGACATCGAACAACCGTGGGGACATTGTCCCTCTGTCCTTCCGCGGCCACTGATTGCATGAAACCACCAGGATTTCATGTTGAAATCCGTTCGAGTATAAAAATGGAGTGCAAATTGTTAACACAATTTCCATCCTAACAAAGTTTGGAAAATGCATAATTAAAATATGTCAAACTCGAGATTGGATGGAGTGGTAGTTGGATTTACATACTCTCGGAACGAAATTGACGGAGTTGTTGGTCACGCATGCATATTGCATATGCATGTAAGTAGTATGACCATAAAATGCCCAAATTGGGTTGAGTACTCGGCCGACAAGTGCAGTTGAAGTTGATAAGTGATTTCAATTAAATTACAAAATTCGTTTTCATCAAGTGCACCACGCTCGCTCGCTGCATTTCCTCGACAGGCTGACAATATTTTTGAAAGTGGATTTGGTTGCACATTTGCATTCCAAAAGTTTTCATCGTATTCTGCTCAAAATCGTATCTTGATTACAAGGGAGGTCTCCCAGCGGATGCTCTCGGATTTTGAGCAAATTAGTGGGAATCGAGTACAAATTTAATTAGGGTGAAATTTGCGAAAGACACGATCTCCCAATGGGCACGTTTGGCCGAGATATTTGCATCCAAAGAGGAGAAAACGCGCCGTGAAGTAGACAAATTTTACACTTTCTAAATTTACTGTGCGTTTTCTCCTCTTTGGATGCAAATATCTCTGCGAAACTTGCCCATTGGGAGATCGTGTCTTTCGCAAAATTCATCCTAATTAAATTTGCGATCGATTCCCACTAATTTTCCCAAAATCGGATAGCATACGCTGGGAAACCTCCATTTCTTGGTTAGTTAGCCATCTCGGTTTATTAATTGCATTGCTAAATTTGTACAGTCACAAGCACTTAAAATGCATTGCTTGCTACTTTAACCGACCAAATTCCATCCATCCATACCCATTTGCATGCATATTTTATTTTACCCCGTCATGTCGTTGCAGGCAGGCAGGCATGTCTAAATAGGGCATAATTCCATTACCTTTATGACAAACATTATACTCATGCAGCAGTTTATGTAATGATAGTAAATATGTTTTGGTACAATAATTACCCAAAAGCGGTACGGCACACAAGGCAGCCAGCTAAATATTGAAGAGGAGAGCTACCAAAGGTTAATAATGGAGTTGCCAAAATTATTGTGGCTGACAGGTGACAAGCAATTCTGGCAAGGAAGAATTGTATAAGCCTAATTTAGCTCTATTTAGTCCGTAAGCAGAGGGTGGATATGTATTTATTTTCGACTTTTTTATTGTTTGATAACGATCGACGGTCAAATTTTATAGGTGTGTACTATGCATAAATCTCATAAATTTCAAAATATTTTTACATGTTGGAACATATTTCTGGGTTTTAAGACGTATTTATAAATGTTTCCCCTATTACAGGAAAAATACGTAAATCGTTTATATATCTTATCAAAAATGCACATATGTTGAAAACATTTCAACGAAGTGAGACGAATTTTTTTTACTCAAAGAAATAGGATTACAAAACTCTAGAAATTCAAACATAAAAATTTTGTGAAAATTCTAATTTTTATGTTTTTTCGTACATACTCGTAAATATTTATTCGTTTTTTTTTCATAAATACATATCCGCCCCCTGTGCATAATAATACACGCAAAATAATACGTCCCTGTAACACACATTTGTCCACATTATCATCACCACCATCCTCCATCCATCCTCGTATTAATTTCCGTTTAATTAATGTCTTTGTACACATAAAATTGGATTACAAATAGGACCCAGTCGTAAATCAGGGGCAAGCAGCTACGTGTACATAAATTAATAAATAGTATAACATATGTAATCCGGCTCTACCTAAATATATGGATTTTGCTCAATCAGTGGGGTTTCTTGCCTATGATTATACACATTTTCCTTTATACCGGAGAGAGAAAGTAATTAACACAGCGTTTTAACATGTATTTAATGCAAAAGCTGGCGAGATCAAAATCAAATCACGTCAAGATAACTTGACCTGACAGTCAGTGAATTAAAGTTGATCAGCCCGTG